ATGCTGAATTGCCATACGACATTGAATTGAGGAGAGAAATGTTTTCTTCGCTGGACAGAGTGATCCAAGAAATAACTTTGAGATTTCAACAGCTTCATGAACTTGCTGAGAAATATGCCTTCCTTACCCCATTGAATCTTTTGGATGATAAATATGAGTGTCAAATAGATCACGATCACGACGACATTGATAAAGAGGAGTTCCTCGTTGAGAGAAAAAGACTTCAGCATTTTGTTGCTGTTGCTGCTATAACTATTAAAGACAGAATACAGACGTGGAAAGAAGGCCCCCTTGAACTTTTGCAGTTTATTCAAAAGTATAACCTTGGGAACTCGGTTCCAAATATAGTAATAATGCTGAGGATTTTCCTCACAATTGCTGTTAGTGTTGCTACCTGTGAGAGGAGTTTTTCGAAACTAAAACTGATCAAGAATTACTTAAGATCTACTATGAGCACCTTGCGGTTGAGAAATCTTGCCATACTGTCTATAGAGCGACAATTGACAGATGAAATAGTTTTTGACAATGTCATTGAAGAATTTGCCAACAAAAAAACAAGAAAAGTTACTTTGTAGAAAGTTGTAGTTTTCATTTCAGAAATAAAGATGGTCCTAATTTTTTACACTTTTTTACTTTTTTCCCTATCCTATATGTCGTTTTTGCTTTTTGTTTAACTGTTACTTATAAAGTTTAAGTATGTTTGGTGTGTATTTAAAGCATACTATATTTGAGTATGTGAAAGTACAGTAATATTATAATGGTACACAAACTATTTAATATATATATATATATATATATATATATATATATATATATATATATATATATATATATATATATATATATATATATATATATATATATATATATATATAAGAGTGAGTCACTGAGCAATATGTATTTTTTGTGGGGGCACGGGGGGGGGGGCAAACTCAAGGGCCGCCCCGGGCGGCACACACTCTAGCTACGCCACTGAAGTCAGGTCAGTCCAGGGGAGGCGAACGCTGGTGACACGTTACGCAGCAGAAAATTCACACTCCTACCTTTAAATTGCTCTCAGCTCAATGCACTCTGTACTTCCCATGGATGCAGACAAAAAATGGCAGCAAATTTCAATGATAGATTCCTTGAGTTGCTGACTGAATCTTTGGATTTTGTCGTTTCTGTTCAAGACAGATGTAAAACAGTGTGGCTCTTTTGTCCTCGAAATAGCAGAATTACAGGCTGACAACGAGGCAAGGGTGATTTTTGCCATCTATGATGACATTTATGTTTTGGGTTATTTATCAAATTGACATTAAGTGGTTAAAAATCGACCTGTTGGGGTTCTGATAAAATTTGGAAGTCTGTGAGACAGCTTTCTCGTCAATGGTGTTTATAAAAAATTTCACCGTAACCGTATATCAAACTTAAACTTAGAGAATTGTGTGCTATTTTGTTTAATTACATAATTATACTCCCTGTAATCGCCCTTAAGGCAATCATGCAATCACAGGATAAGGAGACCCAGCATGTGGACACGAAGAATATACTTCGGTCAAAACTTGTTAACAACAATTATTACACGTAAGTAAACATCATTTTGATATCACAATAATACAACTACAGTGGGATATTCAGGACATCCCTTAACAAAGTGAACTTGACACATTAATACAATGGTGGGATCTCATGTATGCACTAATGTTCCAGAAACAGACTTACGTGTTAGGGTCTTAAGGAGAGATAGGGGTGTTCCCTGTACGGCTCCAAAGCGTTTACTGACTCTCACAGCAGAGGGAACCACTAAGGCACCAGACACCGTCTTGTTCTTATTAACAGATCAGCAAATTCCAGAGTCTCCCTTCTGTAAACACATGCCCGACACCTCCACTCACTACACACTCAATACCTCTCTCCAACTTCACTACTCAGTAACCGCCGAAACTTAAATATCTCCTGGTTCTTCTCATGGGCGTTAACACCCCTATTTAAATAATAATGCACACACGTTACATATGAATTATGACTGATGTAACTTGTAATGAAAATTAATTATATGATGATGCACACAAGTCACTTACGAAATACGTACAGTATGACAGAGATGTTGTGGGGTACGGGATGTTTGGTTCACACTCAGGATGGGATGGAGAAAGGAACTCACAATGTGCTCTCTGTATACATGTTGTATTGGATGTACAATGCAACTTGGTGCTGGGAAGTGGCAGCGTGGTTACAAGCGTGATGTAGAGAGAGCTGGTTGGTGAGGTTGCTCAGAGGAGGACAGCTTGTGGGTCGCCATGCTCGCCGGCGGGAGCGGGTGCCGCCAGGCAGCGGCGGAGGAGGAGGTGTTGCTGGCTGCGGCTGTAGCTAGAAAAAGAGAGAGGTCACCACGAGGTCAGGTCTTAAATAGCGGGGGTAGGCGTGGCTTAGTAGTTGACCTCCGTGATGCATGGCGGCGCTGGTTGACCCAGACCACGAGGCATACACTGGGGAATTCGAGGGGTCGTCTACTCAGCGACAAACAGCGTTTGTAGAGGAGAAATCCACTACAATACTCCCCCCTTCCCTCCAGGCAGTGTAGGAGACTTGTTGTCTGCAGGGTTGTATGGCACATGTGAGGCAGAGCGGGCAGTGCATGCCACATGTGAGCCATAACGGCGATGGCGTGGATGAGCCGGCCGCTAGAGGAGACAACTGTCTAGATACACAATATCTGTGGGAGTAGAGAGGGAGAAAAAGGGTGTGTGGGGGCGATGGATGTTGTGCTTCCCTCACGGCAGGTACAGAGTCGTCAGATGCGCCTGCTGGGGTGTGTGGGCCTGGGTCAGGAGCAGGGGCTGCGTCAGCAGAAGTGGATGAGGGCTCGTGACAGCAGCTGGGTCCACGACAGCAGCAGGGTGCAGGACAGTAGCAGGGAGTACCTGAGGGAGAAAAGAGGGGTGTGTTGGTCCGCACTCAGGCGCATGGGCCGCGTCAGGAGCAGGGGCTGCATCAGGAGGAGCGGCAGGGGGTACTGCTGGGCTGGAGGCGGCGTTTGAGGCAGGACGGGTGTGCTGGGGTCGGTAGGACGTGGTGCTTGGGGCAGGAAGAGGAGCTGGTGTCTGCTTAGAGAAGCAGTGCTGCTCTAGGGTGTCTAACCTGCGGTGTAGAGACAGTAGTTGTAGAGCCGATGAGAGCTGCTTCTGTGTGGATAAGCTAGTCTTCCATGTTTCTTGAAGACTGGGAGAGTGATCGGTTCCTCCTCCATCCTGTGTGAGTGCGAATCTCCGGGGGTCACCATTTGTGGGGTACGGGATGTTCGGTTCACACTCAGGGTGGGATGGAGAAAGGAAAGTCACAATGTGCTCTCTGTATACATGTTGTATTGGATGTACAATGCAGCTTGGTGCTGGGAAGTGGCAGCGTGGTTACAAGCGTGATGTAGAGAGAGCTGGTTGGTGAGGATGCTCAGAGGAGGACAGCTTGTGGGTCGCCATGCTCGCCGGCGGGAGCGAGGGCCGCCAGGCAGCGGCGGAGGAGGAGGTGTTGCTGGCTGCGGCTGTAGCTAGAAGAAGAGAGAGGTCACCACGAGGTCAGGTCTTAAATAGCGGGGGTAGGCGTGGCTTAGTAGTTGACCTCCGTGATGTATGGCGGCGCTGGTTGACCCAGACCACGAGGCATACACTGGGGAATTCGCGGGGTCGGCTACTCAGCGACAAACAGCGTTTGTAGGGGAGAAATCCACTACAATGTAACTAAGAAAATTGTATGTTGTGTTACATAACCATATAATTATATCCCCAGATATAGAATATTAGATGATCATATAATGTCACATATTAACATGACGGAGTTGTAGCCTGTTTCTGCCAGTGTTTACTTTTAGACGTTTCAATTTGCAATACATTTGCCTTACTTGTTTGTACAGTTAAATACGTATATCAATATGTCCGTATTTACTCTAAGGATCCTCATATATACAGCATATTTGTATGTAATGACTTGGGGTCTCACTGGATAGGCGACAGTACTAGACAGGGTCTCACTGGAAATTGCTTGGGAACCCCTGGCTAAGGTTTTGTATCTCTTTGGAGACCCAGTTTATAATTTCATTCATCCATCCTAATCTCTACCAACCCCTGGCTCTCCTACCCTCAACTTTGTCCATTAATATTAATGTTATTATCCCCTCATCCCTTATATATGACCAAAATACCGGGTATCTACGGGTAATTGATCTTTTTCTTTACATATCAAGTTTTTGCTATTCTTAATACTTCATTTGTTTTCTTGTTGTTTTCTTGTCAGAGTAGCTTATTCTTAGCATTCGCAGGAAAAATGTTCGTTTGTATCACGAATAATACGTGATCGTTGCTACAGGAACAATAACCATGGTAGTTGAGCGGTCGAGTCGTCGACTGCACGCAGGTATGAGTGCTTGTCTAGTAACCTAGTAGCTACTGGTCATCTCAGATGTGCGACCATGGCGCCTTCATATGGGCAACTGCAATTTTACTGAAAAATGTGGTAAAAATTCCTTTTTGAAGTTAGGTAGGTTTCCTTCTGGAACAAAACAAAGAAAGAACGACGAGCCTAACAACACGCGCCTACGTCAGATTTGTATCGGCATATTTACAGTAATAATTAATTTCTTCGTATGCAAAGCTATTTTTTATATAGTAGAGACTTCGTTTTAGTGTCATGATCAGTTTTTCCCCAGTGTTTTATCCCGCATTTTCTCTCATCTTTCTTACCCTGCCCACTACAAGTGATTTTTGTATAATTATTATACAATAAAACGTTGCCGTATCGTTTTTATTACTTACTACCATCCAAAGTACATGTGGAAAAAAATAACGAAATCAAGCAACTTCTTCTGTTGTTACTTAGCCGTCTGCTCAATCATTACCATATATTCTAAAGCATAAAAAATCTATCGACTTTTGACGTTCCTCATGTAGACTTTTGGACATTACGAATTGGCAACCTGCTGCCTGTCTCTCCAACGCTCTAGAGATTAGTACCTTTAGTCCTTTACCTTCACAAACTCCTTCGGCGCAGCCATGACCAGACGGGTCCCCAACCTTACCCTCCTCTTACTGCTCACCCTAGTAAGTGTCAACATCTTGTTGTTCACCCTAATGTCAGTATCTTCCTGTTACTCACCCTAGTCTCATTATCACCCTGTTACTCACCCTAGCGCCATTATCACCCTGTTGCTCACCCTAGTGTCATCAGTTACTCACCCTAGTGTCATTATCACCCTGTAGCTCACCCTTGTGTCACTTGCACCCTGTAGCTCACCCTAGTGTTATCCTGTTGCTCACCCTAATGATATTATCACCCTGTTGCTCACTCTAATGTCATTACCACCCTGTAGCTCGACCTAGTGTTACTATCACCGTTACTCACCCTAGTGTCACTATCACCCTATTGTCATTATCACCCTATGACTCACCCTAGTGTTACTATCACCGTTGCTCACCCTAGTGTCACTATCACCCTGCTCCTCACCCCATTGTCATTATCACCCTATGACTCACCCTAGTGTCACTATCACCCTGTTGCTCACCCTGGTGTCATTATCACCCTGTAGCTCACCCCAGTATCACAATCACCCTGTAGCTCACCCTATTGTCACTATCACCTTGTGTCTCACCCAAGTGTCAATATCACCCTGTAGCTCACCCTAGTGTCAGTGTCACTATCACCCTGTAGCTCACCCTAGTATCACCACCACCCTGTAGCTCACCCAAGTGTCAATATCACCCTGTTTCTCACCCTAGTGTCAATATCACCCCATTATGAATGCCACCCTAATGTTAATCACCCTGTTCCCATTAATTTCAGTATCATCTTACTCACTATTATCATCACCCTAGTAGAGGTTATCATCACTCTGCTCATCCTAGCAAAGTCATCCATACCCTAGTAGAAATCATTGTTCACCCTGCCCAACCTAGAACAAATTATCACCACCTTACAAAGTGGAATTTATCACCTAAGTAAAATTCATCACCCTGTTCACCCTAGTAATCATCATCACCCTGTTTACCCTAGTGGAAATCATCACCCTGATCACCCTAGTAGAATTTAACATCCTGCTGACCCGTGGAAAATTCATCACCCTGTTCACCCTAGTAATCATCATCACCCTGTTTACCCTAGTGGAAATCATCACCCTGATCACCCTAGTAGAATTTAACATCCTGCTGACCCGTGGAAAATTCATCACCCTGATCACCCAAGTAGAACTTATCATCCTGCTCGCCCTAGTAAAACCATTTCCCTTACCACCCTAATAGAAATTATCCCCTGCTCATCCTAGTAAAAATCACCATTACCTTTCTTGCCCCAGTAATCATCACCCTACTCACCTCACTCCGAGTGGCCATTTCCAAATTTCCCAAAAGGATATTTTTTATACTGTATACTTTTTTCCTTGCGACACCTACTTTTTAATCTAAATTAAGCATGTTTAATGATGAGTTGAAAATATATAAAACGTTGTATAAAATATACAAATTATTCTTAGAAGAATTGTTGATTTGTCAAATACTGTCATGAATGCTATTTTGTGATCATTTTTTAAAACGCACTGTATATATTACATACATGCTTCATACAGTATAAATAAACAACTGAAAGAAATGAATATTCATTTTTACTCTTGCTGAAACAGCATATGCTCACCAAATTGAAGCAACAACAAAACAGTCAACCGCTCCTCACTGCGGCCTTAGGTAGACTGACCATCCCGATGATCTCGGACATGCTGACAGTGTTGTGTCGTATACTGCGGCTCATCAACAGTGTTGACAACAGCAACTACATAATTATAATAAAAATACGTTAACTTAACGGCTATTATGGCCTTTAGTTCCCGCTGTTTTAAGTATACCTAAGGTAATTTATATAATTCTTTTTAGTCAGACAACAAAAGGAGGACAAATTAACGTCCGGCTCGAGGTAGCGCCGGACGGAGGACAGTGCTCAAAAGCCGGACGTCTGGCCACCCTACGTGACCCCAGCAGAAATCATCACCAGCATGCTCACCCTAGTAATCGACATCTTCACCCTGCTTGGTATTATCATCGCCTTGCTCACCCGGGTGTTATATGATTGCCATTTCAAGCACAAGTGATTTCACCTGCCGTTGCTGTGCTTGGTCAAAGACTATTCAGCATACGTGTACATAATAGTCTCTGGTGGTTGGTAAATACTGTACAGTACCTACAGTACCAATAGGCTGCTCACTCAAAGCTTGCAGCCAAGGCCTTGCGTCAGTTTGTAGCAAGGCAGCTGATTGGTTGGCTTTGAGTGAACCGACTATACTATCCCCGAGAGCCACCGAGTACAGCAGTGTGTTCTGGAGGTCACCGACACAACATTCCCGCCCGCTCACCTTGACTCTCCTACCCCAGGCTATGACGTACTTTTTATTTTTAGGACTAAACCCAAACCTGTTTAGACACAACAGGCCTTGATGAATAATAATAATGCCTCAAGTTTTATATTTCTACTTTCACTAATACAGTAGAGGTAGTAACAAATTTTCAATGCAGTCATAATACCAAAACTGTATTCCAGTATTACTGAAATTAATAACATTGATAATGGTGTTTACATAACAGATAAAAAATGCTCAGTATAACAGTATTTTATCATCCTATCTTTGAAAGATTATTCATCATCACCTCGCATCAATTTACAGTCAGCTTTCATACTTGCATGCTCAGACTGTAATTACCTAAGGAAAGTTTCCTGATTGCCATCAAACAAATTTGAAGCAAGTTTTATGGCTGGATTCCCTTTCGCCAACCTACTTTTAGAGTAGGAACTGGGCATTAATGTAGGACTTCCAAGAACTCTCACAGCTGGTAAAGCAGAGTTGCAACTCCCTGAGGCAATCAAAACTTAGAAATAAAAATCTGTTTCTCACCAGGTTAAGATAAGTGGAGGGTTCCCAAATGGTGCACCTTACTCCATGTGTGGGTACTATAAGCCATCCCACGCCACCCCAGAGCCGCACCCGCACAATACCTCACCCTACCGTCTCATCGTGTCGGCCCAGTACTTTGACTTCAGGGAGCCGGAACATGATTACGTAGTAGGTGAGTTTTTTTCAGGATATGAAAATGAGTTTGCAATTGCTCTTATTTTATTTTAGTTAAGGTATATTCTGTAAAAATCTAAGCTATCAGACAGTATCTGGAGGTGGTGACTAACAGCTTGTTTTTCAGTCAATATTACCAGCAGGGAGGGAGGTCCACCCTTCAAAGGCTTTGTAGTGGCTTCTTATGATGGTTCTGGCAAGCCATATGGCTCTTGGGACCCCTCACCCCTAGCCCACCAGGTATGTTACCTCAAGACTAAGTTACTGTATATGAAAAACAAAGTGAAAAGTGCAAGTAGGTTCCATAGGGACGACAGCCCATTAGGGATAATGTGGATAAGAACATAAGAATGGAGGAAACTGCAGCGGGCCTATTGGCCCATACTGGGCAGTCTCGTTTACACCCAACCCCTATTGCTCATATAAGCATCCAACCTATGTTTGAAGCTATTCAGCGTATTCGAGTTAATGATGATATTTGGTAACTTGTTCCATTCATCCACTACTCTGTTTCCAAACCAGTGTTTACCGATTTCACGCCTAAATCTAAATTTATCTAATTTAAAACCATTGTTACGAGTTCGCTCCTGGTTGGATAGTTTGAGTACCTTTGTAATGTCCCCTTTGTTTAGCCCTGCCTTCCACTTATACACCTCTATCAGGTCGCCCCTCGCTCTACGTCTCTCGAGGGAGTGCAAATTAAGATGCTTTAGCCTGTCTCTATATTCAAGGTTCCTAATGCCCGGGATTAGTCTTGTCATTCTCCTCTGAATTCTTTCCAAGGATTCTATATCCATTCTGTAATACGGTGACCAGAACTGAACTGCGTAGTCCAGGTGTGGTCTCACAAGAGCAAGATACAGTTTTAGGATGACCTCGCTAGTCTTGTAACTAACACTCCTTTGTATGAACCCAAGTACTTTATTAGCCTTGTTACGAGCAAAAACACAGTGTTTACTTGGTTTAAGGTTCCTACTTATCATTACTCCTAAGTCTCTCTCGCAGTCGGATTTCTCTATGGCATCGTTGTTCATCTGGTATCTGGTTTCCCTGTTTACATCTCCTATACTGAGTACTTTACATTTGTCGACGTTGAATTTCATCTGCCATTTTTCAGACCATTCGAAAAATTTGTTTAGATCTTCCTGTAGTTTTGCCGAGTCCTCGTCAGATTTAATAACACGTCCTATTTTAGTGTCATCAGCAAATTTACTTATGTTGCTGTCTATGCCGATATCTATGTCGTTTATGTATATAATAAATAATAATGGTCCAAGTACTGAGCCTTGGGGAACACCACTTGTGACGTTGCTCCAATGGGATTTAGTGCCGTTAATGCTCACTCGCTGTTTCCTGTCCTGTAACCACGCCCTAATCCATTTAAGGATGTCACCTTTGATGCCATGTGCTTCTACCTTTCTAAATAGTCTTTCGTGGGGGACTGTCGAAGGCTTTGCTAAAGTCGAGATATACCACATCATAATTGTGCCCCTCGTCCACCGATTCGAAAACTGATGAAAAGAATGTTAATAGATTAGTTAGGCAAGAGCGTCCGCTTGTGAAGCCATGCTGGGAATCATTGATCAATCTGTGCTTCTCCAGGTAATTTCGAATAGAGTTTGAGATGATTGCTTCCAGTAATTTGCCTACTATTGATGTTAGACTGATTGGGCGGTAGTTAGAGGATAGTGATCTATCCCCCTTCTTGAAAATCGGTATTACATTCGCTATCCTCCAGGATTCTGGTACTACACCTGTTTTTAAGGACATGTTAAACAACTTTGCTAAGGGCATACTAAGCTCTTCCTTACATTCCTTTAATACTCTGGCGAATATCTCATCGGGACCAGGTGACTTATTAGGCTTTAGTTTGTCTATTTGCTTACTAACATCATTACTGGTCACTACTATCTCACTTAATTTATTTTCTTCACTATCTCTGAATAGAGTCGGTGCCTCGGGTATCATGTTTAAATTTTCGGTGGTGAAAACTGTTGAAAAATATTTATTCAAATTATTGCTCATTTCTCTGTCGTTATCAGTGAGCTCGCCGGTGTCTGACCGTATTGGTCCAATCTTTTCTCGTGTTTTAGTTTGATACATTTGGTAGAATCCTTTGGGGTTTGTCTTCGCCTCCCTTGCTATCCTTACCTCATTATTCCTCTTTGCTTTCCTTATCTCGGTTTTAACCCTACTCGCCAATACCCTATAATAGTCCCGGAGGTGAATTTCGCCACGATTTATCCTTCTACCTATAGCCTTCCTTTGGCCAATGATGTTCCTTAAATAATTATTAATCCATTTAGGGTCATTGTTGTCTGATCTGAGAATTTTGTATGGTATGTTCTGCCTTTGTGCATAAGTAACTCACTATTTAAATTGTCGTGGAACTCGGCAATCTCAGATCTCGTTATCAGGTCGGTGACATCTAACAGGTTCACGGCCAAGCGCGACACACCCTCTCTCAGCTGCCTCTTTAAACTGTCAAAGTTCGCCCTTCTGAAATCTGGTACTTTAGTGGAATTTTCCTTGCGTCTGCCCTGAAAGTCTAACTGGAATCTAATTTCTTTGTGATCGCTGTTTGCAAATTCGTTCCCTACCTCGACTCTGCTAATGAGGTTTTCTCTGTTTGACAGAACTAAATCGAGTATATTATTACCCCGTGTGGGTAAAGTTATATGTTGACTTAGAAAACAGTCCTGGATAGTCTCGAGAAAATCCTCTGATTCTGAGTTACCTGTAAGGTCAGTCCAATCTATTTGGCCAAGGTTAAAGTCGCCTACTATACAGACTTTGTTGTGTATGGAAGCCCTGCGCATTTCATCCCAGATAAGTCGCTCTTTGACTCTATCAAGATTGGGAGGTCTATATATTACTCCTGTGATTAATTTTTCTCTACCGTCGATTAATTCTATCCAAATTGTTTCTGTATTCCGCTCAGTTTTTATTTCCTTATTTATTTCACACTTCAGATTATCCCTAACATAGATTGCTACTCCGCCTCCTTTCCTGGTCTGCCTATCGGTATGGAACAGTTTGTAACCCGCAATTTGGTATTCGACTGGTAACTCACGTGTGTCTAGGTTGATCCATGTTTCAGTGAATGCAATTATATCGATTTTTTCGGTACATACCAAGGCCCTAATATCATCCATTTTGTTTCTCATACTTCTACTGTTTGCGTAGTATACATTTAAGTTAGTCGTGTTCTGAGTCCTCCCCTTACCGCGTTTAGTTTTAAACTCCCTGTCTAATTCAGTTTTGTCATCATTCCTAACACTATTTCCCTGTAATCTTTCACTTTGTTTACCCGCTCCCACTGCAGTCTCCTCCACCCCCGTGCTCATATGTTCTCCTAGCAGTTTAAAGACTTCGATATCTTTTGAACTGCCCCCTCTAGAGCCCCAGCCAGGGTTGCTACTCCATCCCTAGACAGGTGCACCCCATCCCTAGCATAAAGGTCCCTTCTGCCATAGAAGTTGTCCCAGTTGTCAATGAATGGGACTGATATTGACTTGCAATATCTGTCAAGACGGTCGTTGACACCAACCGCCCTTGACAACCATTCACTGCCAACTCTCCTTCTAGGCAGGACACCGCATATGATAGGGATCCCTCCCTTAGTCCTAATACGATCTATAGCTGTCTTGAACTTATCAAGAAGCTCCTCACTCCTACACCAACCAATATCATTGCCTCCTGCACTGAGGCAGATAATGGGTTTGTTCCCATTACCAGACAAGATATTGTCCATCCTGTCAATTATATCCCCCACCCCAGCTCCTGGCAAACACACCCTCATCCTATTTTTGTTTTTACCACAAAAGGCCCTGTCCATGTACCTTACCTGTGAGTCACCAACAATTAAAGTTTTTATACCTTCCTTGTCATCCCTGTCCCTGACTGTACTAAGTCCAATTCGTCTATCAAGGGACTGAACGAGTTGGTACACTTAGCTGTTGTTGTCGTTGTTGACGTATCCTTGGTGTACTTCTTCACCACCAGCTTGGTCCTCCCATTACTCACAACTTTCCACTCGCTTGAGTTTTCGTCAGACACTGGCTTTACTCGTCCAGCCTCCCCTTTTAACTTCGCCAGCTCTTCTTTTAATTTCAGGTTCTCCAACGTGGCCCTCTCAATTTCTTCATTGGCCTTGGCCAATTTTTCCATGGACCACTCCAGTTTGGTCAACAAACTCTCATACCCAAGACTGCACACTAAATACGAAACCTTGACTACACTTGACCGCTTAACTTCCTCAAATGTAATGTTGGGAGGACGAGAGGTATAGAGCACAAACCAGTGACCCTCAAGGTGGCGGCACACTAGGCACTTTCCTCCAAACGTGTTTGGCGAACATGGTCTGGCCAGCAAAACAAAGACTTTCGCTTCACACAGGGATGTTTTGTTGGCGCGTCTGCCCAATGCAACAAAAACAACAAAGCCTCCAGACGAGGTTCACCATGGATCCCATTACTACAGTTGAGGTCTTGCAGGATTGTGCTACAGTTCTTCAATTGCTGAAGCAAGTGAGGCATCTGCAAAAGCTAAAGAAAAGACAATGGCTGGCTGTTCAAAGACCCTGACTAATATTTAATTATATTAAAGAAGTTTTAAAGTAACGAATAAATAGAAACATGTCACAAATGTTACATTTTAAATTGTTGTTGTTTCATGGTCTATTTAAATTTTGACTTGAAATTATTTGAAGCTCATTTGAGCACTACTCCAGACAGCACAGATCCCCGTCAAACCCAAACCGGTGTCCATTTCTAGTAACAGCCGAAATCCTGTTGCTTGCTGGGCGTTTAGGCCAACAGCCAGCAAAACGGGCAACATGTTTGAAGGAAAGTGCCCAGTGTACCGCCACCTTTAGGCCATGAAGTGAGTGCATAATAAATGTGACTATCGCACCCTTTATATATGATACCATTTGATTATCCTATTCCATGCCCAAATTGTTATATCTTTCTGCTTTCCAGGTGCCAAGATGCAAAAAGCCTGCCATCACTCACAACGATGCCATGCCTAAATACCTGACAACATTAGTTTGGCGCCCACCCAAAGATGAACAGCAGGAGTGGGGTTGGTTACAGTTCAGGTGAGTTAGCTTAAGTTGTACTAAAAGTGATAATGTAATTCAAGTGTTAAGTTACCGGTACTTTACTAAAGAGACAGTTCTGCAGAGTAGAGCTCATAAGAATGCCAAAATAAAGTGGAAGGATTGAGGCAAGGGTGAGAGCTAGTTTATCGTAGTACAGTGGTCCCTCGGTTAACAAACACAATTCGTTCCAGGTCGTTCGTTAACCGAAAATTTCGTTAACCAAAACCATTGTTTCAATGGGATTTTGGGTAATTGTTTTCAGCTCACCGAAAATTACATACAAAGTAAAAAAAAAAATGCAGTAAAGTACACTTACTTTGAGGTGTGTATGTAGAAGGCTCCTGGTGGATGATGATGATGGGAATTAGAAGTGGGGGTGGAGGAGAAGGGAGAAGAGAAGGATGTGGGGGTGGAAGAGAAATCACCCCATGCTTCATGCCGTCATGTCACCCATAAAATTTTAAGTTCACTAGGTGTAATTCAAGATTATTTTCTTTAAATCAACACTGCACTGCACTAAATATTGTCAATGTTAAATAAATTTCAGAATGACCAATAATTGTACTGTAAAAACATAAAAATACTCTGTGTTCAAAAGGGTTCCATGACAATACCCCAACGAGGTTGTCATTTATCAACACTAACCTAACCTAACCAAAACATAAAAGTGTTTTATTTTATATTTTATATATGAGAATGGGGTTTTGTCCGTTGGGGTTATATCCAGTCACCGTTCAAGAGACCCACAAGCAAGATGTTTCCTCCACTGAGCCGAGACACAAACTGACGCCTTGGTGGATGAGTGAAGTGGCTGATGGGCGACACCAAAAACTAGTTCTCTGTACTGCAGTTATGTTAAATAAGTGTTAAAATTACTAATAATTTTAATATAAAAATTGGAAAAATATTGAATAGCTCAACCTTCTTGATATTTACTCCAATGGGTAAGAATGTAAGCCCTAGAACCGATTACTGTATTGGCGGACTAATCTTCCAGCTGGTGAGCAAGCCAAAGCATGTCAAAACATTTTCATAAGAATTTCGTTAACCGAAATGAAGATTCTTATGGAAGGTAATTCGTTAACCGAGGCGTTCATTAACCAAGGGACCACTGTACACTAGTGGGAAGTGAGTTGTAGTGAAATTCCAGACTAGCTCTAGAGCTACTTGCTCTCATAGGAATATCGATATATTGTAGTTCTTAAATCCACATTAGCATTCAGAATTATCACTTTTTCCTTTTCAGAGCAACAGTGGTGAAAGACCTGCACAACTTCTGGTCTGAGTTGCCCCATGAGGTACTGATGTAACTAGTTTTCATCTCCTGACACCTAGTAATATTTTATAGGGTCCCTTCTGACTTTCTGCCGACATCCATGAATAGCTAATGCTAAGAAAAATACCATAATTTTTTTTTCTTATCCATACCGAAGCACAAGAATTTTTTTTTTAGTATAAGAAATTTTTCCTATACCAAAATATATATATATATATATATACCTAGATCACGCGCACCTACAGTGATTTACTTGACCACTGAAGGGTCGAGACGTGCCTGGCGCTCCTCTCGGAGCAGCCAGGTCAACTGTTGTGTTGGCCCATACCAGCCCCCTCCCCTGAACCCTCCTCCCCACCGGAATATCAACATGTTCTCGCCAGAAGTTGCCGTTTCATTTAGGAAAGGAATGGAACCAGTGTTAAACAGAGGTGAACAGTGGTGAACGGTGCTTAAGTCAGTGAGAACAACTCAACAGTAACAGTCGTACCCGGGTTGACCTTCACACAGTGAGGTCCCAGGTACCCAGTGATAGCGGCCCGTGAGACCCAACAACCAGCGATGTGTTAATCCGTCTACGATAGGAAGGCCTGGGACCACACCTCACTCATATAACACCATTTGTGAGGGAATTACTACACCACGTGAGGCCCCTCATAACACCATATGTGAAGGAGTTACTACACCACTTGAGGCCCCTCATAACACCATCTGTGAGGGAATTACTACACCACGTGAGGCCCCTCATAACACCATCTGTGAGGGACGTGAGGCCCCTCATAACACCATCTGTGAGGGAACTACTACACCATGTGAGGTCCCTCCTAACACCATCTGGGAGGGAACTACTACGCCACGTGAGGCCCCTCATAACATCATCTGTGAGGGAATTACTACACCACGTCAGGTCCCTCATAACACCATCTGTGAGGGAACTACTACACCACGTGAGGCCCCTCATAACACCATATGTGAAGGAGTTACTACACCCATGAGGCCCCTCATAACACCATCTGTGAGGGAATTACTACACCACGTGAGGCCCCTCATAACACCATCTCGGGAGGTTAATACACTACGTTTTTGTGTTTCAACTTCTACATTAATCTGTATGTTCCTACCTTTCTTAATGAAGGCTTTGTTAAACCACCAATGTATGTAATAAGTCATTTATGTCCAATGTATATTTTCAGCCTGGCTTGCAGAACTTTCAATAAACGTCAATTATATATATATATATATATATATATATATAGAGTATATATATATATATATATATATATATATATATATATATATATATATACACACATACAGACAGACCCCGACTTACGGCTGCTTCGACCGCCTCAGATTTTTTATTATTATTTTTTTCTATTTTTCTTTTCAAATGACACGCATTTTCTATACCGAAACGTTTCCAGTTAATGTAGTCTCCATGTATAATTAGAAAATTATGGGGGCCCCATGTGCATTCAGCTGACTACATTAAAGGTAAGTGCTCAGTCACACTGTAACCATTCCTTATTATTTATTACTTTCACTGTACTGTATCCATTCCTCATTATTCATTACTTTTACTGTACTGTGTTTCATTGTAGATTATTTATTTAAAAAAAAAAAAAAAATTTTTTATCTATGTCGGACTTACGACCTGGATTTGGGTCCCTAACCCCGTCGTAAGTCGGGGTCTATCTGTATATATATATACACACATACATACAGTGGTCACCTCGGTTAACGAGCACAATTCGTTCCAGAAGGTTGCTCCTTAGCCGAAAAATTCGTTAACCGAAACCATCGTTTCAATGGGTTTTTGGGTAATTGGTTCCAGCTCACCGAAAATTGCATAAAGTCAACAAAAAGGGTAGTAAAGTACACTTACTTTGAGGTGTGTATGTAGAAGGTTCCTGGATGATGATGCTGATGTGAATTTGAAGTGGGAGGAGGAGAAGGGAGAAGAGAAGGAAGTGGAGGTGGAGGAGAAGCACTTTACTGCTTCTTGGAAGGCGAGTCACTTTCCATGAAAATGTCAGGAACCTCTGGACTGACAGATTCTCCAGCAGGAACATCCTCTCTCCTTCTTGAAGTGGAAGGCTGAGAGCTAGCATCTGTTTCCCACTGCCTTTTAGTGAAGAAACTGTCAATTTTGGTTTGTGGGGCATCTCTCCTCCTCATCATTAACTGATGTTTGAAGGAGGAGACCATTGTGTCCTCAACATTGCACAAGGCAAGTTCTGCTTTTTCCACATTAGGGCGCCTTGAAGCCAGTTTCCTCAACTTCTCCCAGTAATGAGCAACATCTTTCAAATCTGAAGTTGACATATGGTCATCACTTTCCTTTTCCTCCTCACCACTGTCAGCCTCTAACATCTCATCTAGTTGCTGCAAGTCTTCAGGAATATGTTCCTGCTCATGAGACATCACAAGCTCTTCTACATCATCCTCTTCCACTTCAAGGCCCAATGACTGACCAATGGACACAATCTCCTGGTCCAACTCTGTTTCTTCCTCAAATCCCTCAAAATCATGGACTATTGATGGCCACAGTGCTTTCCATGAAGAATTGAGGAATCTAGTGGAGACTTCTTGCCATGAGAGGACAATCAATTTTACAGCCTCCAGGATGTTAAATTGTGTCTTCCAGAACTGTGCCAGTGTTAGTTCAGGATCAGTGGAAGTTGCCCGATGACACCTACTGAACATTTTCTTCATGTACAGCTTCTTAAAGTTGCTGATCACATTCTGGTCCATTGGCTGTATGATTGATGTAGTGTTGGGAGGCAAAAACAACACTTTGACAAAGTCAAATTGAGACTCCAAAGTGCTGGCAAGTTCAGGGTCATGACCAGGGGCATTACCCATAAGGAGAAGCGCCTTTAAAGGAAGTTTATTGGTGGTTAGGTAGCTCTTCACAGAAGGGCAAAACACCTCAACCGCCCATTCATTAAAGAGCTGTCTTGTCACCCATGCCTTACGGTTGGGCTTCCAATAAACTCCAAGCCGTCCTCTTACCACTTTCTGTTGCTTGAACACCCTGGGGATCTCAGTGGTAGACAAGCATTGGCTTCAGTCAGAAATCCCCTAAAGCATTGGCACCGAGCAATAGAGTGAGACGGTCTTTCATGGGTTTATGCCCAGGTAAAGAGGCTTCATCTCTGGTGATGAATGTCCTTTCGGGCATCTTTTTCCAGAACAGCCCAGTTTCGTCCACATTGAGCACTTGCTGTGGAAGATAATTTTCTGTATCCACCAGTTCTTTAAATTCCACAAAAAATTTTGCTGCCCCTTCCTTATCGGCACTGGCAGCCTCACCATGCCTGACAACACTAAAAATGTCACTTCTTTTCATAAATTTTTCGAACCAGCCCTTGCTGGCCCTAAACCCTTCAAACTCTGTGCCTGAAGAACCAGGTTGAGCTGCCTTTAAATGTTCGTAAATCTCCCTGGCTCTTTCACAAATAAATTCGGTCGAAGCTCAATCACCTTTCATCTGTTTTTCCCTAATCCAAATGAGAAGTAACCTCTCTGTTTCTGCTATTAGGGATCTACCTTTGAACACTGGTAGATTTGTCTCTCACTTTCACTTCCTTGAATTTGTGTTTTTGTGAAAGAATTGTCGACACAGTTGATGTCGACATGCCATATTCTTTGCTAAGCACATTTGTTCTAATGCCTTCTTCATGTTTCTTAATAATTTCCTGTTTAACCTGGATTGAAATCGCCTTTCTAGATTTCTTTGGACCCATGCTGGATTCAATAACAATTTCACCACTAAAATTTTATGTTAAATTACTGTAAATAAAGAATATTTTCTTTAAATCAACACTGCACTATATATCATCAATATGTAAAATAAATTTCAAAATGACCAATAATTTCACTGTAAAAACGGAAAAAATAGTTTATGTTGAAGAGAGTCTGAAGCAAGATGTTACCTCCACTGAAAAGACACAGAGACTGACGCCTGTTTGGTGTGTTGAGAGGCTGTTTGGCGCGCTAAAAACTAGTTTCCTTGTACTTCAATTACGTTAAATAATTGTTAAAATGAATAAAAAATTTAATATAAGACTTTTAAAATTATTTATTTGTACAAACTTCTTGATATTTACTCAAATAGTAAGGAATTTAAGCCCTAGAACTGATTACTGTATTGGCGGACTAATACGACAGTTAGTGTGCAAGCGAAAACATGTTGAGGGATGCTCGTAAGGAATTCGTTAATCGAGGGATTGCTCGTTAACCGAAGTTAAGAATCTTATGGAAGGTAATTCGTTAATCGAGGGATCACTGTATATACAGTGAATACAGCAATCCCTCGATTAACGAATTCCTTACGAGCGCCCCTCAATATGTTTTCGCTTGCTCACTAGCTGTCGTATTAGTCTGCCAATACAGTAATTGGTTCTAGGGCCTAAATTCCTTACCATTTTAGTAAATATCAAGAAGGTTGTACTATTCAATCATTTTAAATGTTTTATATTAAATTTTGTAGTCATTTTAACAATTATTGAACATAATTAAAATACAGGAAACTAGTTTTATGCGCGCCAAACAGCCACTCAACACACCAAGCTTGGCGTCAGTTTGTTTACAGGTTCAGAGGAAGGGACATCTTGTTTGAGACTCAACATAAATGCTTTTTTTCTCTGTTTCCATTCAAATTATTGGTAATTTTGAAATAAATTTTACATATTGACAATATATATAATGCAGTGCAGTGTTGATTTAAAGAAAATAATCTTGAATTACACCAAGTGAACTAAAATTTTATGGGTGAAATGGTGGCATGGGGTGACGTCTCTTCCACCCCAATGCCTTCTCGTCTCCCTTCTCCTCCACCCCCATTCTAATTCCCATCATCATCAACCAGGAGCCTTCTACATGCACACCTCAAAGTAAGTGTACTTTACTGCATTTATTTTTCGTTTTTATGTAATTTTCGGTGAGCTGGAACCAATTACCCAAAAACCCATTGAAACAATGGTTTCGGTTAACAAATTTTTTGGTTAACGAGCAACCTTCTGGAACGAATTGTGCTCGTTAACCGAGGGACCACTGTATATCACGTTGGTTTAGGAAAATTTGCTTATACTAAAAAATAATTCAGAATTTGGGATAACTTAGCAAGAACCCTCGATAACTCAGCACCTATGGGGATCTAGTTCTTGCCAAGTTATCCCAAATTCTGAATTATCGACCCATATATTGTGTACATGTAATTACTAAAAGTCAAAAAGTAACACTTACCACCACTGCACATGAAGAATGAATCACCATAGGTGACACAGAGGCATTGTAGGTGACAGACATAATAGGAGATGCAGGTGATGATGGCACTTCTGTACAGTATACTACACAGTTAATTTGTTCACTGATATAAAATAAAGAATTTTACATGCACAGGTTTTACCTCTCTAGTCCAGCATTCTGTGGTCCGGAAACTCCCGTGTTCCGGAACAATTTTAGTTTGCCCATGGAGAAAATTAATTTGAGTCTGGTACTTTCGAGGTTTGGCTAAATTTGGCCTTATTTACCCTACTTTTTTGGTGAATTATTACCTGTAATAAAGCAACATCCTAATAAACCAACAAAAATAAGATAGTTAAATAAAAACTTAAAACAACACATAAAAGTTCTTATGTTCTACAGCTTTAGCTAGAGTTGAACCTGATGGCTTGGCAACTTCATCATCCGAGTAAAAACACACACAACAACATTGGCTGTCTTTATGTTTTCAACTTTACCATGACTGGTGGGTAGAATTTTTGTTTTAAATTCAAGAACATCAATTAAAATATATATGAACAGTAAAGAAGTGTTGCTTTCATATTCTTATGTAGAGTAATAACGATATGTTTTCACATGTGCGCACTTTCATACGCGATCTCACTTTTTTTTTACCATTAATGGTTAGCTACTTCCATTGTTCCATTTATTAACATTAAATAACATTACTTATAACAACCATATTAATTTTTTACATTAATTTTACTACAGCTACAACCAGGGTCTTATTTTCTTCAGTTTTATATGTAGAACCAGTCAGTCACTGGTTTTGTAAACAACGAAAACAATGCTCTCGTCTCCTCTTGTGTTTTAATATTCTATGTCTTGTTAATGAATTGTATTGTTCATTTTGCACACAAACATTAATTCAATCAAAAAGACATTCAGTAATAAACAATAATGAATCTTTTGTACATAGAGAAATGACGCTGTTTACACAATTGTGCATGTCTGAACGTTGGCGGGCCGCTCAAACCCGTCGAAATTTTAAATTTCGTAGTTGTTTTTTTTTCCAAATAAAAAAATTTGAATTAAAAACTCGCGAAATTTGAGAACCTACTGTAAAACATTTAACCCTTCAATATGTCTTCAAAGAGACCACGAAGCAGCGAAAGTGGTGCTAGTGCTTCCAAGTGTATGCACAAGTCACTATCTTATCCAGGAAAAGGGTGAATTTCCATGGTCCGGCACCGGTCAGGTCCCGAGGTTGCCGGACTAGAGGGGTACAACCTGTACAAGTATTTCATTTAAACACTAGAGTTCTGTACTGTACAGTAATTTCACTTTAATACTAAAGGGTATTTTCACTTAAACACTATGTTAACACCAGTCCTTTAGACTTAGAATGTGCTTCTGAATCTTATCCTGATTATTTTTTATACTGTACAATATTGTAAAATGTGCTGGACTTGATCCCAAACACCTCACACACCATAAGCATGGATGTGCCAGCATCCACTCGGTCTAACATTTTATTTTTCTCGTGAAAACTGAGGGACTTGATCTCCATGACAGTATAGATGCCATATCAGTGATGTTTGATGAGGAAGAACACAAGCAGAGAATAGGTGTGGAGAGACAATTCATGCACACCTGACCGCAACAATAACAAGCGTCAGACTGACCCATGCTTGGAGCACAGTCCAGCATCCCACTGCCAGATATGCAAAGATTTTCCCCAGATAATTGTATATCTTAGCATTTCCTGAGTTAAACTGTAATACATTCCGAGACCATATCCATGCCAAGTTATTAAATCAATATGAATTTCAGTTATATTAAGGGTTTACTATACACCTAGACCCCGACTTACGACGGGGTTAGGGACCCAAATCTAGGTCGTAAGTCCGACAGATAAAAAAAAAAAAAAAAAAATTTTAATAAAAAATCTACAATGAAATACAGTACAGTAAAAGTAATGAATAATGATGAATGGATACAGTACAGTGAAAGTAATAAATAATAAGGAATGGATACAGTGTGACTGAGCACTTAACCTTTAATGTAGTCAGCTGAATGCACATGGGGCCCCCATAATTTTCTAATTATACATGGAGACTACATTAACTGGAAACGTTTCGGTATAGAAAATGCGTGTGTCATTTAAATTTTTTTTTTTTTTTTCATCTATATCTGAGGCGGTCGTAAGTCCCGACGGTCGTAAGTCCACGTAGTCGTAAGTCGGGGTCTAGGTGTACTATATTGAGTAGCTTGCACACACACACACACACACACTCACAAATCCAGTTCTTGTAAAGTGTTATAAATGAGGATAAGCTATACACTATTTACATCTCTCCTGAATGCAATACAATGCGTGCTGTACAATGTTGTCTTAAAAACAAGATATTATAAAGTTAGTCCACCATTAAATCTGTAGTCAAACATACTGCATAAAATTCACCCACTTTATTGAAAAGGCAAACTCCATAAATTTAATAGGGCATACAAATTCTAATTCCAGATACACACTTTATTCAGGTACACACAAACATTGGGAATGTTCAATGAAAAAATATTTATGTACCTCCAAAATAAAAATCGGAAATATTTAATCAGACTGATTTGAACCTTATACAATTCACATATTAATCTCATCACATTTGTTGTCTTACAAATATTCACACAGATGGGACAGCTTAGTTATAGTAGATGCTTACTAGTCACTTCACTTTTATGTACTTCCAAGTTTTACCACAGTTTCTTCTATGGTGGTAATATTTCTCATTCCTAAAACAATACTCTCAAATGGCATAAAGTAAAAGAATACAAAAAATTATTTAACAGGGCTTCTGTACAGTGAAATTCAGTAAATTCCTTCAGATGTGAAAAGAAATGATTTATGATTCATGAAAAAAAAAATGTGTGGTTGTACAGCAATACACTATCATATTTCTTAAAACTTATGATTGAAAGTAGTTATGTACAGGAGTAAGCCATAATGCCCACACTTGGATAATATCTGATCAATTATTAATCTTGTGATAAATGACTAGAAAAAAAAAGTCAGATATACAAGAATTAGAATTACTGAATATCCAAGAAGTGTACATGAAGACAAAATTGAAACAAAACAATTACTATGACCACTGCATGAAGATCTTAAAACTAATTATTCCTACCTGTCAGATACAACTTAAGGTGGAAGCACACAGCTACTTCCATCACCATCAGTTAGAAATTATTGATATTTACGAAAACTTGACATGGGGAATCTCTCATTTTGTGACATCATGGGAAGAGGCATCTGGCTCATGCCAGTCTGGGTAACGTGACTGAGCATTTCAGACATACCAAGACTTCCCATGCTTCCACTACCTCCACGGCCACCCATATTTGGACCACTGCTACTTCCCCATCTGAAATATGTAAAGAAAATCTCTTAGGTATTCTCTCTGCAATATCTATACAATTAAATTTATCACTCAATTATTTATATATTCCTCTTGGGCATTCATACATACAGAACTACAGATTAAATATATAAAATAATAGAACTAAAGAGAACAAGATGCAAAAAATAAAAATAAATAAATAAATTAAATAAAAATACAAGTGCCAAGCTGAAAAAAGAAGAAAAAAGATGAGTACTGTACAGGTTTAAGCAAAAATTATTGTAAGGCATCATGCTATGTAACTAAGAAGCTTGTAAACAAGTCATACACCACAGCAAGTTAATAATTATTAAAGCTAATATATACAGTATATATAGACACTCCCCAGGTAACAGATTTCACTTTACGGATGCCCTCCCATAAGTCTGACTTAAAATGAGCACCAATTAATTCCCAGCCCCAGTGGGAATACTTTCAACCATATATACCCCACCAGTGAACACTATGTTATGGTTATTTAACTTATTTTATTTTGTCGTACAGTAATTATAGGTAAATATACCCTGTATGTTATTTCCATTTTCTTTTTTTTATTCGGATACATACACACACAATCCAACATACAAAAAGTGCAAAAATAAATCAACTAAATTATTATCATAAGGTATAAAGTTTTACATATTTATGGGCATGTGTGTGAAGGTCGGAGAATCTGTGGTGGAGCACTGTTGCTACGGACACCGTTGTGTTGTTAAGACGAGCACCGGGGGCAACTGCGATGCAGGTTGAACACTAAATTGTATCAATTTTGCTCTCTTTATGCTTTCATTAATGCTATTTATATGCTTTTGTTAATAATGTTTATATGCTTACTGTATTAAGTAATAATGTTACAATGTAGTTAAAAGCTACTTTTAAGGGTGAATCTAGTGATCTGAACAGTTTTCACAGCCAGTTACAGAAGGCTTACTGTGCATTTTAGGCCTGGTGTTAGGGGAAAAAAAAAACTCTGGCGACCCCCAGGTCCCAAGCATGCCAGATAAATTATCTCAGAACTGTAGTATCGCAATTGTATATACATTATGTGTACTATGTAGGGACTGTACAAGTTCCCAATTGGCTCTCTGACTTACCCGGGGGGGGTTGGGAACACAATACAGTACAATATACAGTCCCCCAAAAAAGTGTAGTTAGCCATGGGGTCATGTGATTCAAGGCTTCCGAGGAAAATTCGACTTGTTTCTGAACAGTTGGTAGTTCTACGTCCACGACCTTTGAGCACGAATAACTATATACGTTTTCGAATGATGTGTATCCCCCCCCGAGACTTCAGATTATATATTACATGGATTAGGAGTGGATGGGAGTGGATGTCATAAACGAATACCAACACTATGCCAATCACCAACAGGATCTTAAATCGAATGGAGTGAGTAATTATCGAAGAGACATCGCAATATTTGAGAGGTGCTATCATTGCCCTTTCCAACAGGGTATCTGTGATGCTGGGGTGAGTGAACCCACAGTATCACACAATGGGTTAGGTGCCATGAAACTTACAACCACAAATGTCTTATTATAGAGGTACGGGGATCCTGTTGCCTCCAAGTTCCTTGATTTGAAACCTTATTTCAATGTTAAACCGATGCAATTTACATATCAGAAACATGGCAGATCCCATGTAGACCGATATACTGTACATTACTGTAGCTGTTCACTCTGATATCAAGTATTATTTGCCGAGTCACTTCATAAATCATATATATCGTGCACAACATGAGTCGGCATATTGTGAAACGGTCTGAATGAAACTCTGTTAGTGCAACAATGTAATGGTGAAACGTCTGTTTTGAAGTCTGTCTCTAATATGATGTTCTGAAATATTTCCATTCAATGTATATTTCAGTGTTACTGTATTCATCGGTCATTGGCTTGTTTACACATTCCTTGCTTCTATCCAGCACGATACATATATTAATATCACTTACTGGATTTCTTGTCATACAGTATTGAAGTATAAAGTATGCCGGACAACGACGACTCCCTCCCCAAATCCTACTCCCATCTCTAGCTGTTGCTGATATAGCTTGCAGGTGTACGAACTTATGATGATGCACTGGGGATCATATCAAAGCATTTCGTCTAACGTTTCAAATTGTAGAGACGGAAACTCTTAACGATACTTTTCAGGGGACTGTACAGTAGCTAAAACAATTATCTGTGCAGGTGGGGTTGATATGCTCTGAAATTTTAAGTGTGGCCAGTGACAGCCCTCATATACCAAAATTTATCGTCCATGGTCTCATATAGTTCCCCACAAAGTATGCACAGATAGTTGTGTTAGCTACTGTACATGTGGGTGAGTCCTCTGAAAAGACAATTAAGTCACACATTCCTACCTGAGAATTGGTCTCCCCTTTCTATTTTGACACTTAGCTCTTTATTTATTTATTTATATATATATATATATATATATATATATATATATATATATATATATATATATATATATATATATATATATATATATATATATATATATATATATGTATGTATATATGTATGTATGTATGTATGTATGTGTGTATGTATGTGTGTATGTATGTATGTATGTGTGTATGTGTATGTGTATATGTATGTGTATATGTATGTGTATATGTATGTGTATATGTATGTGTATATGTATGTGTATATGTATGTGTATGCATGTATATGTATATGTGTATGTATGTGTATGTATGTATATGTGTATGTATATGTGTATGTATATGTGTAAGTATATGTGTATGTGTATGTTTAAGTGTATGTATATGTTTAAGTGTATGTATATGTTTAAGTGTATGTATATGTTTAAGTGTATGTATATGTTTAAGTGTATGTATATGTTTAAGTATATGTATATGTGTAAGTATATGCAATGTGTAAGTATATGTATATATATATATATGTGTGTGTGTATGTGTGTGTGTGTGTGTGTGTGTGTGCAAATAATACAGAGGCTGATTCTCATAACTTAAATATTGTGGAATTGATTATACCCCCTCCCCCCCCAATAAGAAGTACTGTTTACAGCGGATCCCACCCAATCCACGGCATTGTTCCTACACACCCCACAGGCTGCGACTACTGTAAACTGTAAAACAAATGTGCTTCCAGCAAAAACAGTTTCGTTCAAGGATTTCAAAATATCATCCAAATACAGTATATATCGCCCCTTTTAATATTTCATTTGGCTAATAATAGGTGATTTTGTTCAGTTCCACAAGGTGTTAAGACCCCCAAAATAATTGTTACTTTCAACCCAGTGTCAATATGAGTTGATATTCACTAATTTCATATTAATTGGGTTTAATTTGATCTTGCCATATACTGTACTAAAGATCCAATTTCAAAAGAGAATTAATTATGAACATTAATCTCAACATATTGAATGAATCTGGAACCAATTAGGTCTTATGCCCTAATAAAGACTTGATTCTAATCACAACATAGCCCAAAGCTTGGGGTGACCATAAGCTTGCAGCCTCTGCGGACATCGGCCCCATGTTCAAAAAGACCCACTTAAACGAAAAATGAGGATTTGTCCTTGATTTTAAATATGCTGTTCAGTTTAGACTCCTCTTAATGGTGCATTAAATTCAGGGTTCTTTTTCCATTTTCCACAAAACAAGATTATGGGTACCAAATGATTCCCAACTTAATAGTACATTAATCTTTTTCCACCCCACTTTAAGTCTTCTTAGCACATGGCCTTGTTCTAATGGGTCCCCAACTTATTGGCACCATTAGCTTTATTAAATTTTCAGCTTCAAATAAAACTTTAATTGGGAAATGAAGAAGAACCCACCAAAAGACTTATGTTATGTATCAGTATTAATTATTTTGCTTAAAATGGATCTCAAACATTCTACATGGATCACTTTCTCTCAGAACAAACATCACATTGATTTGTGAATTGTGGACTGAAACGCTTTTACACTGAGCAGGATTTACTATATATAACCAGATTATATGGAATCCAAATACTGTATCTAATCATCTATACTCATGTAGCTGAGAATACCATTCATATCAAATTTATAGTGTATACTGTATTTGGTTAAAATTATAAGAGACCTTTTCATAAGTACATAAAAGAACCAATTATTTCAAGTACACCATGACATTAAAAAATGTATTCAATAGACGGCTGAGTATTTAATATTATTCGTTTTCATGAAAGTGTTTTCACTGGATACAACCAAGACAAGTTGGTCCTCTCCTGAATGTATCCAGTTTTAGGAACAAATAACTGAACCAATTCTAATAACAATAGATTGTCTCAACAACAACTCAGTACAGCTTATTGTACATTAAAAATATTAATCTACATTGAACATTGAAGGCATGCTTCACTATTTCCCTTTCGTTATAGTGTAATTGACTCAAAATATTGATGTTTGTGGTCATTACAAGGTGTTTTCATGTAAATGGGTGAAAAGACCTTCAGATCTGTACACTACAAAGAAGAGATATTGATGATGAAATTTCTGAAGGGAGATACTAAACATGCCTCAGGACACAAGTGCAGAGTATGTCACTTGAGAGAACAATTTGTGGACCAAGGAATGTTAAGATATTTATACCTGAAAATTGCTCCACTGTTCTGTCTTAATTTTTTTTTTTTAATAAATGTATGTATGTATGTGTGCATAACTGTGAGCACCAGTTTTGAGGGAACATGAGCATGTGCCTATTGAAAAAGCAAGAGAGATTCTGTGTCTACAAAAGTGTGAACAGATGGCACTGAAGTGTTGAGAATATTCTTAGTCTTAAGAGAAGTAAGAAGGCATGCCATGAACAATAGGGTGCATGTGCCAACAGCAGAAATGTGAACATCCCTGAGAGATGTTTAATAACATGCTTCCTGGGAAGCAAAAGTGCTTGATCCTGGTTTGTTTTTTGTGTCCCTTTGAGGTAACGTCAATTCATGTCCATCCTGGTAGCCTTAGCTCATGCCCCCAAATTGTGAAAGCATTTACTTCTAAGAAATAATTTCAGTACACTTCCCTTGAAGAACTGTGATTGTGTTTTAAGAGCATGCCTCTATATGAAGTGTGAATGAATGTGTAACTGCATGCCATTTGGGACAATGTATAGGTCACACCTCTTGAAGTGTAAGATACATACCTCTCTATAAAGTGTACATGTCATCTCTACCTCTTTAAGTGTTAGATGCAAAACTGAAAGTGTGCCTCTTTAAGAGATGTAATATGTGCCATCTCCATCAGTAGAATGGATTCATTTTGGAGCACCCCACCCAAGGGATTGGGGGCGTATCTTGGGATATAGTACACACATGATCAAGTGTGCACACCTTCACAGAAGTCTATAATATATACAGCTTGAACAAAATTTGCAACTGTGCATGCATATGGATAAGGGAAGAGCACTGCATAAGTGTCATGATGTGCCTAGCTTCTCCCTCTCATTTCTCTTTCATCCCATGCTGTTACTTCCGCATCTATTAATCACTTGCACTTTTCCCATTCCTACCAATTCTCATTTGCTCTCTATCCCACAACTCCACTATTCTCCCTCCCTTCCTTCCTTTCTTTTCTTTAGTGGTGATTTTGTTAGTGCTAGAGTATAGATAAGAGTATGAGCTCAAAAAGAAAAATACTTGCAATGGGTCATGCTGGTACAGAAAATGTTATGCTTATGCTTGCTATAAAGGTAAGTTTATTGCTGCAGGCCACGCCCATATTATATAAATATTCATGCAAAAATAAATAAAAATAAAATAAAATATAAAAATGCAAGACTGAGCATGTCTGAGTTTCCTAACATCTGCACGCACACACACACACACACAGTATACTTTTGGTTCTCAGGAAGTTTAAATCTTTGTTTTTAATGAGCGTTTGGAGAAAGATCTTCAATGGACAGTATAATATATGAATGGTATTCTTAAGCATGGAAAGCTGACTTAAGCAATGTCCAATTTGTATGCTCTGTAACTATCAATTAATTATAAAATGTTCACATTAATTTGAGACACCTTTTCCTACTTTATTTGTAGGGTGGCGAGTGCAGACCTTCCACGAATATTCCATATACTAATTAAACTGACTAAATTTTAGCTAAAAACAGAAGTGCAGTGACAGTGATATCAGCTGACCTATCACTGCTGCTGCTCGAGGTTCTCCAGCCCTGAGAGTCCCCCCCTCGCACTGAGAGCCCCGTGGTGCCCATACTGCCCCCCATCATGGCCGAGCTGCTCCCATAGTTGCCCTTACTATCGCTCATACCCCCGCCAGTCCTCCATGCATCACCTCCGCCGCTGCTGCCCAGACCACTACCACTGTACCTGGAGAGATACCGCCGACACTCATCACCGTTGTATTCCACAAGCTACTGAGGCTTTGCTATTACCCAAAGTATTACAGTAATAATCAGTTTGTTCTTAACTTTAAATGCCAATAGTATGATTTTCACCTTGAGAGCAAATATATAAACACGAATACACGAAATACAATAAAGTATCAAGTGGTTAAACAGTGATCCACCCCAAGGGTGATTTAATTGAGTACTGTATATAAAGGTTACATAAAAAAATCCTGTGTCAACTCAAAAGATAAAGTAATAATAAAAAAAGATAAAAAAATAAACATTCCAAGAAACATTATTCTTAACCGATTTACTTTAAGATGTTTCATGTATACGTTTCTTTTAACCCTTTTCCCACTTATTGCAGGGTGGCCAGATACATGCATGTTTACACACTCACACATTTTCACTTCATTTTTAGTCATTTATTCACTCAGAGAAAGATATGTTCTGGTGTGTATATACATTAACCAACTGGTCTGCAGTCATTGCATTCTAGTACTGTATTTACATTCATTAGTGATACAAAATTGCTGTAAAAATCAAACTATAGAAGACTTTTCTTATTGTAAACCTTCCAAGGCATCACAAGTGCAAACAGTAGCCATTAATTCAATACAACCTTCTGGGTAATTTACATAAATCACAAAGCTCAGAGTAAAAAAAATTTCTATAATTTCCAGATTGTGTTCTTTTAACACATATCTGCCATACATCAGTACTACACAAACTTCCCCTATCTTAAGGAGTTACATGTTCAGTCCCCTCCAAGTATTTATATCCTTAAGTACAGGAGTTATTACGGTACACACCCAGGAGGGTTTTTTTTTCAATCTTATACTAGGCCAATTAATAACATGCAGAAAATTATAAAATTCAGATGACTATTTTTCTAACTAACAAAACCATGTACAGCATTGTGATTTTTACTTCGTTTTTTTTTTTCATTCCAAGTATTTACACTAACACATTAACCACATAACAGATTGAATTAAAAAAAATGAAACAAGGTTGTGCTCACTAAAGTTTTCAACAAACAAAACAAAACTGCTCACCAACAGCACTCAACTGAGTAAGTGGACAGACAAATATATGTATGATATTGCAAAAAATAAATAAACTTATAATCAAAATTACCTCCAGGAAAACTCAAATGTCAAGTGAAACACTGATCACACTGTGATTATTAGCTACAGGCCATTTAGTGCTACATTAAGATTCCACATTTACCTTTCCCTTGGTCTGTCTCGTGAAGCCTGAGGGGGAAGTGGTCCCCTATGATCTCGATCATCCCGTGGTCCAGACCTATCGACTTGCCGCCTATCGTCACGCTCCCTTATGTCTCGTCGATCGTCATAGCGACTAGCACCACCGCCAACACCAGAGGATGCACGGAGATCTTCTCGGGCCCCACCACCATGACTACCGTGACCAGTATGGCTTCCGTGGTTACCATGACCACCCCGTTCGAAACGTGTAGGGTCATTTCCTCGTTCATAGCTTCGATCTTCATTATATCTGTTTACAAAAAAATTTTCAGTTCATCATTTTACCAAAGGATAAAACATATCAAGAAATTGGGGTGGATATTTTTAACGGAATTTCAGATTTTTACCAAATTGTTTCACGGGTCCTTTTTTCTCTTGTGCGTTTCATTACTTATTCAACCTGAACCTAAAAAGAGGGTAGAATACCTAGAGTAGAGCAACAGATTTTCCAAAGTGCCACAACTGGGAAACAACAAAAAACCCCCACTGATTATCGAATTCACCTCAAGTCTAAAAACCAATTTTGGCTAAAATCCACAACGAACAGATCCAGTCATTAGCGGTCTTCCACCTAGCAGTTAGGTGACAATTTCTCAATATCATTTGACTACTAAAACACATCACCCCTCTATACTGTACAGTACTTACCTTCTCCTTATAATGGTTATTTTCTGAAACTAATTTTTGCTTTAATTATAAAACAATTACACATAAATGAAGGCATTTTATGTGGTCTAACATTGTTCTTTTCATTTTTTTAATAATGCTGCACATGTATCTCTTACACCTTTTACATACTGTACTGGTCTTATCTACTGGGAAATACAGCTTTTCAACCGTCTTTGTAAATCTAATTTCTGGGGGGAATAATACGTCTCTCAAAATCCATAAGTAACTACTATACACACGCAGTGTACATATTTCCAATATGAGGATTACTGTAAGTGGAATTTTTCCTTCAACTTCTATTTTTCTAAATTAATCACTTCAACAGTTACTTTGATGACAAAAGATCTAAGAACTATAATTAACACTTTAGCTAAATTTGAATTCTGAAATAATTGCCTCATTAAACTACAACACACACCTGCGCTGAGGTGCTGGAGCATCATCAAAACGTGATCTGCTGTCTGGAGTTGGTCTCTTACGATCCTCAAAGAAGTCCCTTCTATCACGATCTTCAGCCGGACGCTTGATGCTACGCCGAGTCTCCTCATACCTGCAAAGAGAGTAGACTCCGGCTCATGCTATTGGCTCTACAGGCCTTGAACGAGTTCACTTAACTTCACAGTACGTGCAAGTGCCACAAGCTTCATGCACTAAATTTTCTAGTTCAGATTTATTCATAGGAAACTAACATTTACAAAAACAAATCATATAAATTACTTTAAAAAATAATAAATTAATCAATTAATTAATTAATAAATAAATAATGAATGAATATAAACAGGTGTTTGACAAGAACCAGGTATGACACTGACCGGAGTCTACTGTTAGGAAAACATGGTTAAATAACTGTCAAGATCAACAAAATAAACAAATAAAATAATACTGTATCAGATACAAAACACACAGTAATTGGATGAGGTGGTCCACTAAAAAGCGGCCTCTTGTTCTAATTGTAATGCTGTCCAGTTCCTTATCCCAAAATACCAACAGACAAAAACAACATGAGAAACTCATGTACTGTGCTAAATAAATTAATTTACATCACAATTACTCCCCCTATTTTTAAGCAGCTCAAAATTTCCTAAAAACAAAAATAACGGTTGGAGAAAAAGTTAAGAAAGTAAATAATCAAATCAGATTAAATACAGTTGACACTAACTCAATTATCCAACATTTTTCAACTACATATGCATTTTCCCTCTCCTGTACAGTGCCAAGTGACCAAAATCAAGAGCAACACTCTCTCTCCTCCCACTGACACCTCTAACTACTGTGTACTACCAAAAACATATTCTGCTACATGGGGTTCCTTATCAACAAATAAAACATTTCCATTTAGTACTATCACATCATTACTATGCAAAAACTGTATAATCAAAAGTAAAACAAGATATTATAAACTCTCTTTTGATATGACATAGTTGCTTTGTAATTTTTTTTGTAGGTAATAGTTGCATTGTATAATAAATCTTCCAGCTTAACAATATGGTGTTCAAACACTACATGATCCAAATTACCTAAAATGAACCTACTGTATTGCACCTATACTGTATGCAGCACATCTACTTTTGTCCAAATCACAAAAAATATTATCAGCATCACCATTGTTTTACAGCCATTTTCCATGCTTGTGTGGGCTAGCCATGATTACCTGATGGCATGGTGTTCAGGTTGCTGTCAGGCAAATTTTAATTAAATTTCACAGCTGCTTGCCTTTCATATTGACAATTTGTAAAAACCTTATATTCCAAACAAGTTTCACCACATAGCTGATGTTTAACAATAAAACATACACGATGTTAGCACAAGGCGTCTACATATTACACACTGCATATTTTAAGTTATCCAAATCATTAAATAAGTCTCATCTCGCCGCAATTGAGACCTAAGGGTATTTTTTAAGTCGAGTCTGACATACAAAAGATCCTTTAGATAGAAAAATTTAAATACTGATGAAATTATGATGGAAAATCATGTTTTGTCATCAACAAAAGTATATGAAATATGCAAAAGATTGGTGAATCTGATAACATGTTTTGGCAAATTTCTACTGATGTCTAACTTACTCTCTCCCCTATAAAGCCATTTCTTGCCATGAAGCGGGATAGTTGAAAAGGTGTCCATCCAGAATCTTCAATTCTTGCTAGTCCAATAAAGGGTTGTTCTATAATATGCTAGTCAGTTACTCCACCCATAGTTGGGCTACACTCCATACTTGGTAGGCCACACTAGGGTTATTCACTGTAAACCCTAACTTATTGTGGCTCCCTGTTTTGCAGCAAATCAATTAACAAACATTTTTATGTCACAGCAGGGTGCTTGAATTACTGTACTGTGGTCTGTAACAATATGGCAAGACATTCACAGTCACTCACCAAGTTAAGATATCTCAGATATACTAGTTGCATTTAAGCAAGAGGCCACACTTTTGATATTTCAAGTTACAGTACTTTATCTTGTTTCAATTTTTATTGCACATATCTGATATTTATGATACTTACAGGAACAATGATCATCAAATTGCAACCATTTTCACCAAGATCTGCCAAGAAATTACCAACAGGAATTCACCAAAAGTTTCATCATGCCTGGCTGCCAGATTCCACCATTATGTTCAAACCATATACAAAAGAACAAAAATAAAAAAGGGGGAAAATAGATCCCACTGTGCCTAACAACTTTCCACTTAATTGTTTAGTTAAAGTGCAATCGGCTATATCTTGAGGGGAACATCACTATCAAATCTATTCAGTTTTCATGGTACTGTAGTCCAAATTCCTACCAGCAGTAAATTAGGTTACATATGAGTATAATACTGCAGCCTTTGAAGTCATAAAACAAAAATTTGGGGAATATTCCTATTGCTCTGATATCTAGCAAGAAAACTCATTTACCAGGATCTGCAACCTAAGATATGCAATATAGAAACTTGCTACTATAATATTTTCTTAAAACAGCTTATAGTAAAATTTTAAAATATAAGAGGTGAATTTTAGGCAGCAAACAAAAAAAATTAAATACATACCCAGATTAAGTCAGAGTATTTATAACTCACAATGGACGAGTTGACGGTTCTGGGTAAGCACAAGAAATACACTCTGCCACGTTCGTAGAGTGATACAGTATATATAATTTGAAATAAAAGTTTAAATCTAATATACTATAGGACTAGCTATCTGTCTGTTCTGGGCAGCCGAAACGGCACAATCGTTTTTCATCAAACTTGGTGGAAAAATCGCAAAAAATTTGTAGTGGAACAAAACTGGTCCCATGTCGATGGTTTCTTTAGTAAGGTATTAATAAACCATTTTATTTACGATGGAAAACGATGCACGTCTATGGACTTGGCGCACCCTAATTAACCATGCAAGTCTACGGACTTGGCACCGCACCCTCATTCGCTGTACACTAGCCAGCACGAGCATTCAAACTTTCACTGGGCACGAAAATGCCCACAATCACTTGCTCCTGCTATAATAGTCATGATAAGTTTATTTCTCTAGAAACAGGGCTGCCATTTGCAATGATGTCACTACTTACAAACTCATCGCTGCAGTCGGAAATACAGTAGTAGAAAGGGTGGCCTCTTCAGACCCCAAATGCCACGTTCAGGTAAGTTTTAAGGGTATTTGTTTTTTAATAGTTTAAGTCGTGGACATTTCGTAAGTGAAGAAATGTGCCGTGATGAGCATCTTCAAACATAGATTGGATGAATATATGAACAATAGGGGTTGGGTGTAAATGGGACTGCCCAGCATGGGCCAATAGGCCTGCTGCAGTTTCCTCCATTCTTATGGACAAAAACTCCCATGTTCACACCAGCTCAGCTGTCATGTACTATTACCTGGTAGACTCTCTTTTTTGCAGTGCATTTACAGAGTATATCAGTACTAGATGGAGCTACGAGTAAATTTAGAAGTAATGACATTGTCTGGACTTTGTTTTGAGAATGCCTGATGCAAGGTAAACATGACAACATGGTGATGTTATTGTTTTGATTCACTAATGAATCACTGGGATATATCATCATTTATATTAATGGGTAAAATTTTACTTTAACTATCATAAGTATTTTCATGTTTAAATTCGAGATAGGCTATACAGTATAGGGTAAATTTTAAGTTTTGGTCATCCCTGTACTTAGACATGCAGACTTTCTTTTTTCTGATGGTTTGCGATGTGTTATAAACGATTTAGACCTTCATTTCTATAGATAATCACTAGTTTTGAGTTACTACCCCCACTTACCGATGTATTTTAAGTTAATCTTATAACTTATCATGCCCTAACCTAAGAACGTTTAGAATCTTAAGGTTCCCCCAGATGACCAAAACCAAAATAACACCAATATTGTTTGGAATGTTTATACTATGAAATTTGTTGTATGGGCAGCTAATATCCATTGAATTAGTTTATCTGCTTAGTAATATTTATATATTCAAAATAGTATTACTGTGTTGCACAGTAAAGCACAATTGATCACAGAGCTTTTCGCAGTCACGTGACTTTAGCAACTTTATCCCTTATTTTTGACACTTTTAGGTCCAATTTATTAAAAAAATATCATTACCTTAGTGAATTGAAGCGTTTTCTTTACCCACTGACCTGCCATCTTACGAAAAAATTCCGACAGTCAACTCATCCATTGTGATAAGTATAGGTACAGTAGTTGGGCTATATTGCGACTTTATATAACGATTTTTTTTATATCGCGGCTACCAAAATTATCGCCATTTTCCTAAATATAGCAAATAATTTTCTTTTTATTTCTCAAGGGAAATCAGGCAGGAAATATTTCAAATGCACCACCATGGCAAACAAATGTGTTATTTGCTCACCAGAGGCGCCACCGTGGCTGCTCACTCACGCTGGCCCACTCGGTCTTTCTGAGTGAGTGACGAGAAAGCAGCCGACTCTGCTGCAGATTACGACTTCTAAAGTGAGTGTAAATGGGTTGCTAGTGATGTGAAAAGTGAAGAAGATAATGGAAAGCTTAATGGAAAAGATTTAAAACTGTAATTAATATTTCTGGTTTGTTCATTTATGATTGTTAAGTGAGGGTGGCAGTGTGGCATCTACTGCCGAGTCTGGTGTTCCCAGGATGGTGCGTCAGCTGCCGAGTCTAGTGTTCATTGGTGCTTTAGTTGGTAAGAAAATGAACTCGTTAAATCAAGTAATTTTTGGGGGGCCTCCAGAACCTAACCCTATTTTCCCCATTGATAACATGTAATTACAGTATATATTGCTATTCGGTACAGTATATAGCAAACATAGTTGGACCCTATCCCAACCCTACTGTATGCGTTTATTTAGGCAAGATTCTCTTTACATTTATCATGTACATGACACAACACTCCTCCAATCCAGCCCAGCCACAAGACTGAAATCGTCTCATGGGTTGAGTCCTGAGCACAACTGTATGAAGCATTCCGAGCAATAGTCCCCGGCTCCCCATTCTGTTTTTATGATGCCAGAATAGTGTCCCCTTCCTGAGAAGATGAAACTGACAACTATTTGCGTGCTAGGAGTTGTAGTCCAGAAAATGGCATTGTTTTACAAGGGTAGTGCTCCACCCGGTTTCACATATACTTGAGTCAGCATTCTGAGCAGCAACCCCAATCTCGCCACATCCATTAACCAATGAGAGAGCACGCTTGGCCTAGGTAGTGCTAGTAACCAATCGGTGCCTGCTCTGGGCCCAGTCTCGTGTTTTGTGTTTACAAATGCATTTCCCATCTAATTCTTTCACTTTTTTGGTGTTATTACTGCAGTAATAAAAAAAAATTAATAAGGAGAGGGTGCCTGGTACCTCCAGAAGTGTCACAGGAATGTTGACAAGTGGCAGAAGGTGGAATCAAAAGACAAAAAGTAATCTCAGCCAGGCGTACCAAAGCTGTAAGATGGTTAAAATTGAAGTGCTCTTTAGCCAATTTGGAGCCATTGGTGATTACACTTTGCAAATTTTTCAGCTTTCAGTTAGTGAGTGCAGGAAAGGCAAAGAGGTGCCGAGTGAAGGCTAGGGAAAGTAGAACATCGCATAGTACACAATGATTTATGATAATGAGGTGGTGTTTGTTGCCATGTTTTTTACAGCATTCACAGCCTCAAAAAAGGATGTGTGCATACTGTTTTAGTTAAGCAGTCTGTCACTGCAACAACTGCCAAAGACTAGCGTGGTAAAGCACCATCAATGTCTCGGGTTTCTGACAAACATATAGACTATGCATGACTCACCTCAATAGTGTACCAAAGGTCTCAATCATTACAGCTGGGCAAAAAGCCCTCACAAGGAAGTATTTGCCAACTGATTTGAGTATCAATGGTATGTACACTTCATGGATGGAAATAAATTGACAAAACCTGGAGCCAGTAAGTTACAGGTACTGCTGTGACATGTTCAACAATGAGTTCAATTTTGGTTTTGAATTACCAAATAGTAACATGTAATTTATGTGATAAAATAGATGAACTGAAAACTTTGAAGGATGCCGACAGTGAGTGCATTCAAAAACTGAGACAACAAAATGGTGCATTTATCTCTTGCTAAGAGTGGCCAGGAATTGCTTAAAAACAATGTTTAAGACACTCTAGCAGCAGATTTTAATGACCTGCATCAGACCAATGCTACCCCAAAGTTATCCATGTGTCCAGTATTATAAGAGGAAACTCTGGACTTATAATTTTGGAGTCCACAACATAAAATCTGGGAAAGATGCCATGTTTCTCTGGAATGAGTGTCGGCAAACACAGTTCTTGTGAAAATGCCAGGTGCCTGTACAGGTATACCAGTGATTTTATTGATAATCCTGTGACAAAACTTGTGATCTTGGTCGATAAATTTTTTAAAGTAATTAAATGGAGAGTAAATAATTCATACTGCAGGGATGCAGTTTTCATTTGGGACCAGATGCTAGCCAAAGTAACAATTTGCAACTAACATCTAAGCCAATTTAAATTGTTACCAGATAAAATCTTCATTTATCTGCTTACAGAATAATTCAGCCTTAGATAACCTCTCATCACACCATTACTCATTTCAAAACTCATAAGTTGCTGTAGCTTGACTCTTAAGTTTAATGCTCTACAGTACATGGATAAAAGCCTAAACCTATACACCAAGACACTTTGAAAAAACACTTTACAAGTTGATAAATCTTTATACGCAACGAGGAAACTATTCTAACACTCACCTCATTTGTTGTCGTCGTAGTTCTTCTCTCTCGCGCTCTAGTTTTTCCCGCTCCATTCGCTGGTGTTCTCTCTCTAAGCGCAAGAGCTCGTGCTTTTGTCTTTCAATTTTTTCTCTTTCTATACGCAGCTTCTCTCTCTCCCTGTTGAAACAATATTTATCCAGTATTTATTTAGAAAGTGCAGTCCAAACTTAATAGTGAGATCCTACATTCTGTTGTTAATCTCTGCCCTAAATTCTATCATGAATATGTACAGTAAACCCTCGATAACTCAGCATTCGATATCTCGGAAATTTTGAATAATTCGATACGTAAGTGATCTCGGAATTTATTATAAAATAACTCGGGAAATGCCGAGTTGTATAAAATTATTTGGGAAAATCTCAGCATATTTGACCACGCGGGTAACACTCGCCGTGCTCCACTCCACGCTTCATGAGTCTGGTGTTTGTTACTGTTGTGATCGGGTGTGTGCTGGCACACTCCCCCCAGTACATGGACATGGGAAGTGTGCTGTAGCACCCCAATAATTTGGGTATAAAGTACTATACATTGCACCACAGAGTATCTAGGGCAGAATTAATATTCAGCACTCCTCGGTAAAATTTGGTTCCTGAAGTACTAACCCATTAAAACCCAACAACCTCCCCCATTCATGTCAGGCCAGCCACTGTGTGCAGAACATCTCTTCTATTACGGTAAATCCAATTTGGTAAACTTTATTTAATTTGCAGTACAATTCATTTTATCCAAATTCCAACAATCTGAATCTTCCAGGTATCCCAACTTTGTCTCCTTTGGTTAAAAATCTAATTTAGTCCAACAATCCGAAAGCAACTGAAGTCATTTATCCACGCCTCTGATATCAGCTGCACTATAACCACGTTTTAAACAAAAATTTTTATGATAAACAATAAAATTGATACATAGCGAAGAATATAAAATAAAACAGCCCATATTTTGTCAAAAAAATAGCTCCTTCCACACTCAAACCATCGTCCAAGTGATGCCACAGTTCAGCCAGGCAGTCAACCAGCTGACATGAGACGTTTGTGTCTGTCGTGATGTCACATAGGATGGAGGTATGCGGGCGAGTCAGCCAGCAGTATAGCTCACTGCCTTCGCATACCCCCCCCCCCAACGCTCTTAATTTTTTTTTTTTTTTTTTTTTTTATACAGGTTGACAATCCTTTATCAGAAATCCTTGGGGCCAGAGGCATTTCGGTTTTCGGAATTTTTCGGTTTTCAGAATGGTTAGTTTTTTTTTTTAACGTGTATTAGCCCACCCGGGCATAGATCACTGACCCACATTGGGGCCTGGGGGTCGAAAATATAATAAAAATTATAATAATAATAATAATAATAATAATAATAATAATAATAATAATAATTCACAGGTCTAGGTCGTATTTCTCACTTTTGATCTTTTTTTCATTCTTGTATTTCTTTACTGTATTATTATTTTATTATTACAGTATTATTGTTATTAATATTATTATTATTGTAATCATTATTATTTTATGTTGGTGTATTTTTATTAAAAATTTTATTTACTATGAATAATTATTATTACTATTACATTTTTGCCCCCCAGGCCCCGATGTGGGTCAGTGATCTGTGCCTGGGTGGGCTAATAATCACTGTTTAAAAAAGCCCCACAAAAAAACTTTCGGTTTTTAGAGCTTTTCGGTTTTCGGATAAAGGGTTGTCAACCTGTATCTTCAGATTATATTTTCTTTATTTCTAAGCAACATTAAGGTATATAAATTTTTACTCTTCTGCTCTGTATTAAACAAAACGGCTTTACTAGGGTGGACTATAATATCCTGAGTGATATAAGTTGTGTTTATTTACATATTCAAATTTGAATTATACATAGTGAAAACAATTATTTTTGTTAAATTTATTCTTTATTTTGTTTAAGTGACCAAATTACAGTAGTATACATAAAACTGCACTGTTTACTGTTTACGTCACGTTTCCCCTCCATCACCTGCCATTCCCCTGCGTCACCTACCATGCACCTGTGTCACCTCCTACATTTCTTCATTCTTCGCCTGCCGTGCTGGTAGTCATTACTTTTTGAAAATTAGTAATTACGTGTACACGTATATGGGCCTAAAATTTCTTGTATTTAACCTCATTAGTCTCACTGTATACTGTAGCCTGGGGGAAAATAATAATGTTGAAAAATATACGACATGGCTATTCATATACATCTGGTTCCCCAGTTATGAATCATCCTGCAGCAATGTCATAATTATCAATAACATTATTTCCCCCAGGTTATATAGTGATACTAAATAAGTTTATACAAGAAATTTATTGTAAAGAAAATCTCCAATCATGAATCTTAAATAACTAGCTATTTAAAGCATATCTGTCAACTCTTCAACATACTGTGTTACCCGATCACCTGCCTAACATCAAGCAGGTTGGTCCAAGATAAACTTCTGCTGTTAAAGGTACCTTATTAATCATAGTATACATTTCCCAATCAACTTTACCATCTCAATGAAGTCCCACAGTTCTATACACTAAAGCTCCCTTCATATAAACCTTTTAACTGAAGTGGCCCTCATTTAGGGGGGAAAGGCAGCCTACCTTTGTAGTCTCTCTGCCTCTTCCCGCTGACGTCTCTCAATGTTGCGTTGTCTGACTTCATCCTCTCTCCTCCTCCTCTCCTCTTCTCGCATTATCCTCTCACGGGCACGTATGCGTTGCCGTTCACGTTCCTCCATAATCTGCTTAAGAGTGGTAATTTTTATGCCAAAGTACTCCACCATTCATCCATAATAATCTTTCACTCATACACCACAGTAGGCTATACAGTACTTTAGTTTCAAAAGGTCCCCAATACATGTGTACAGTGATCCCTCGGGTAACGAATTACCTTCCATAAGATCCTTCACTTCGGTTAACGAAATAATTTCGGTTAACGAATTCCTTACAAATTTTTCCCAATATGTTTTCGCTTGCATTTGGCTGTTCACCAGCTGTAGTATTAGTCCGCCAATACAGTAATTGGTTCTAGGGCTTAAATTCATTACCATTTTAGTAAATGTCAAGAAGGTTGTACTATTCAATCATTTTAAAAGTTTTATACAAATTTTCTTAGTCATTTTAACAATTATTGAACATAATTAAAGTACAGGAAACCAGTTTTTTGCACGCCAAACAGCCACTCAACACACCAAGCTTGGCGTCAGTTTGTTTATCGGTTCAGAGGAAGGAACATCTTGTTTGAGAATCTTCAACATAAATGCTTTTTTCTGTGTTTCCAGTCAAATTAGTGGTCATTCTGAAGTTTAATTTACATACTGACAATATATAATGCAGTGCAGTGTTGATTTAAAGAAAATAATCTTGAATTACACCAAGTGAACTAAAATTTTATGCCTTCTCTTCTCCCTTCTCCACCTCTCACTTCAAATTCACATAAGCATCATCATCATCCATGAGCCTTCTACATACACACCTCAAAGTAAGTGTACTTTACTGCATTTTTTTTTTTACTTTAGGTAATTTTCGGTGAGCTGGAACCAATTAACCAAAAACCCATTGAAACAATGGTTTCGGTTAACGAAATTTTTAGTTAACGAACAACCTTCTGGAACGAATTGTGTTCGTTAACCGAGGGACCACTGTACTTGTATTCTTACCCATCGTTAAGTTCTTCACTGCCGGCAATTTACCAGGAAAAAAGTACTAAATGGAGATTAGCAAATTTACAGCCAATTCACCCAAATCAAATCCACTCAGTGTTGTGGAAATACTCCAGATTACCAAATAACTGCAAGACACTACTCAGTAGAGTTACATCATATACAACTCAAATGTCATCTACAAGTTACACAGCAACCTTTTGAGTTGTGACATACTTTCCTTAACATAATCTGCTGTGTCCGTATATATAATGGTTGCCCCTCATGTAAAAAGTATGGTCGGCCCAAGGGCCACCTAGGCGTGAATTTGTTTAAGGTGTAGGAGCTGTGCCAACAAAACAACCACACCCCAAGTTAACGAGCTGCTTGACCCAGTGTCAAGGAATAGTCCAAGAAGACCGAACTACTCGCCAACTGCACTGGCTAACCATTACCCCGAAACACGATCCACAAATCGATTAACATCCAGGTTCCCAATATCTGCTGGGTAGACAAGAGGCAAATGGCGTAAAGAAACTTACCCATATTTTCACCCTGCCCGGGGATCGAACCCGGGTCTGCTAGCTTGCGAGGCGAGCATGCTGACCATTACACCACATGTCATTTTATGAAGCCCATCAATACATTACATCTATCCTAGTTTGAATGACAAATTATGACAATAATAAAATATGAAGAAATTATCCTGAAATGTCATTTTATAGCTAACCCAAAACGAGGTACTCCATCCCAAACTTTGAAGTCTCATTCTAAAGTTAAGAACTTGGGACTCAAGTCTCAAACTTGTTAACTCAACCCTAAAGCTAAGTAGAACTAAAATTCTTCCTTTAAGCACATAATCCACTCTCTCCTTTCTGATCCAAAGACTAAATGGAAACTTACATTTACAGATACCAATTCAAATTCATCCACCAAAAACATTCTTAAATAAAAAAAGTCCTTAGGACCGGTTTCAAAGACTAAGTAACCTCTAAAGATCTGAAGTCTCCTTGAAAGCTGTTATCAGGAAAAATCTTCAAATACTGTAACTATGAAACAGAAACTAATGGTAAAACTCTGACAAATGGCAGAGCCAAATCAACATTCAGGTGATATTAACATAATAGTGGAAAAATTATTCGTCTACAGACCACAAGAAAGATATAAATACTAAAGACCTATCCAACTTCTGACATAATAAATCCCTGAAGTACCCCCTGAAAAGACACAGGGTCAGTACTGCCCTTTACTCAAATCAAATGTGCAAGACAGGATAGCTGTTCCAAAATGCACATCCACAAAACCAATTAACTGAGCACTGCAGATATTTGCAACCCCTGCAATTTCTGGAGCAGATAAACTTTCATCACCCCTTGAGTCCATTTTGTAGGAAACTAATAAAACCTCTAAGGGAAAAACTCTCACCATTGATGTTTGTCAGATAGAGCATCATCATCCAGCTCCAGCAAAAGTTGCCCACCAAACCCAATTATCCAACAGTATTAACTAATCTGTCTCCATTGCTGAAAGTCTAATAGAGGTATGCTCGTGCTGACCAACCTCTGGGATTCCCATTCCCCTATACTCTCCCCGTTTCTAAATGCCCCACAAGAGAGATAATAAACCTAACAGGGTTAAACAGAGGTTCAAAAACAAAATAATTCTTCTCTACAAAAGGACTTCACCCAGAGAAAAAATACAACAACTCTCAAACTTATCCAACTGTCTGGTTTGATAGAGAAGGGTTAAGTAGTGGCTCTTCCAAAGAGAGCCACTTATGGTAATTCATCTCTGGTTTCAAAAAAGTTTAAAATTAGCCAGTAGAAGATTCCCAGTCACAAGATTTCACACAACAGAAATTGGTTGAAACCTTAACACAGAGGCGTTGGAATTTTCTGGTCAGCACATCAGATTTACTCAAACTGGATCAACAACCCTAATCAACATTTGTAAAATGTAATAAGGTTAATGTTTTGCTAAATACTAACACTGAAGCAAACACATAATGAATGTAAATGTACATCCCCACAGGGCTGATGACTAATTAGGGGTGGTGCAAATACTGCACACCATTCTAAGCCTTTTGTACACACGGAAGACAGTATGGCCAGCACTGCACTGAATATCTTTTACTTTTTCCCATCCATGAAGACAGGTACACACTATGAGCTGGTGGAACTGTGGTGCTCTGGGCATGAACCAAAGACATTAAGGACTGGAGGCAAGAACTGCATCCACTCACCTGCCACACCCAGTAAAACACCTAAACTAGTATTCTATCAAAGATGAAGTACTTATGTCAAGACAGTCAACTGAAATGCATGGCCAGGAATGAATGGGGATGGTTTCCCAGATCAGTGTGGCAGACCTATGAAAAGTAGCTTCTGCAATATCTCATGCTCCTTTGGCCTTCCAATCACAGTTGAACTACGGGAGCTCACTAATAATTTAAATAAGTCCCAGTTACAAATGTCAGGTCTCCTGGATCTTATTACTACCTCAGTGCAGACATTAATAATATAATGGTTGCCCTCGTGTAACGAGGATGGCCGACAAAAAGTGACCGAGGAGTAAATTGGTTTAAGGTATCGCCAACAAAATAGCCACACCCTGAGTTAACGAGCTGAGTGACCCAGTGTCAAGGATTATTCCGAGAAGTCCGGACAACTCATCAACTGCACTGGCTAGCCATTACTCCAGAACACGATCTGCAAATTGATTAACATCCAGGTTCCCAATTACTGCTGGGTAGACAGAGGCAAATGGTGTAAAGAAATTTGCCCATAGTTTCACCCTGCCCGGGAATCGATCCAGGGTCCACTCGCTTGCGAGGCGAGCATGCTGACCATTACATCACAGGACATTATACTCAAGCTGGCTAGTAAGGGGAAGCTGCCTGCTACATATATAATAAAACTTGATTATTAAAGAAATAATACAGCAAAGTCTTTGTTTTACCTGTTTGAAACTAAGGACTTCATTTCTTCCTCCACGTTGGTGACCCTTGTAATTATCCGGTCGCCTATCAAAGGGCCTGTTATTTCTTGTACCTCGTCGATCACGATCTTTACTACTTCTACTTGCATCTTTTGAATGTGACCTTCTCTCATCTTTCTTCTCGCCCTCTTTAGCACCCTTCTCATCTACACCTTCCTTCTTCTCACCATTCACATCTTTTTTATCACCATCTTTTTTTTCACCTTCTTTCTTCTTGTCACTACTTGAATCCTTCTTCGAGTCTGATGGCTTACGGTTGGATGATGATGACGACGACGAAGCTTTGTTTCTTGTTGGACCGCCAGGTTCTCCTTTAGCCTAAACAATGAACATCTCAAATTATAAAAAAGTATCAAAATCAGTAAATTAGAAATTTATCATTTAAATATTGACAGCCACTTGCTTCCTAAAAACATTTTCTCTTCCTCAACACTAGAAACAATACAGTAAAGCCTCTGATGACAACGGTTCGACCAACAACTTTTCATATTTAAAACCCTAGTTTTAATATTCTATTTATTATTAATGAATAGTATTGTTCATTTTGCACACAAACATTATTTCAATCAAAAATACATTCAGTAATAAACAATAATTAATCTTGTACATAAGAGAAATGACACTGTTTACACGATTGTGCACGTATGAACGTCGGCCTTCTGCTGCCTCACTTTTTTCTGTACCATCAGTGGTTACTTCTACTGTACATTCATTAAATAACATTAACTAAAAGAAACTGCTTTGTTTTACATTATTTTTACTACAGCTACAACAAATCTTATTTTCTTGTTTCAGATGGAGAACCATCGTCCTGGGTGTAAACACTGACGACAACAATAGCGTCCCATCTCCTCTTCTGTGACTACATATTATTATTCATTTATTCTTTTATATTGTATAAGGTGCATTAATAACTTTTATTTAAGGAATATAGTTTTTATTTTTCATTAATTTTCCTTTTTTGGGGGGAAAAGAGGGTAAAATACCACACAACATACATGAAAAGGTCAGGCTTTGGAATGCATCTAATTATTAATGGTAATTAAGGATTCAATATACATTGATTCACCTTACACGGCAATATTGGAGGACACATTACCGTCGTTATTCGAGACTTTACTGTATTATCAAGCTAGAGTTTAATAACTTTGATCTCATCACAAGTTAAACCCTAGGCAGTGTCAATTTTACCTCATACACCTAATAATCTATGAACCAAAAATTACGATTAAAAAAATAAAACAAATGACAAGAGCAAGGACAAGTACCTTGTTGTTAAAACATTTGACTTTGGTGTCAATGTAATAGTTGTGCAAGATACAAATTTATCTGTCCTTTCCAATTAACTCTTAAATGGGATGGCAACCTATATCAATAGATGTTCTCTTTCTTTACGTTCCAGTTTTGGCATATATGAGGATGGATTTATGAAAGCCCTAACCACAGTCCAGGGATTACGTTTACAATAACTACATACACAATTCAGTTAACATGATGGCTTGTAATATAAAACATTGTCAATTTTATCCTAATGATTTCACCTCATATTACTCTTGCTACCTTATTTCTTTCCCTCTCATATACCTGAACACAATTTATCCTTACTTTACTTTCACATTTCTTAAAGCAAACTATAACATGATTCTTAACAGAGCTCAATAAAAACACCAACTTCGTGATCTCCACAAGTGCAAACAGCCTCCCTGTTCTTAATGTAACACCCTACCTTTTCCACTTGGATCATGCGACCATGAAGTTCTGTGTGGTTGAGCTGGGAGATACAGTTGACAGCATCATCACTACTCATCATGGTAACAAAACCATAGCACTTTGCTCCTGGAGTCTTTGCATTAGTCACAATCTTTGCACTCATCACCTATAATAAAAAAATGTATCTTCTGAGTATTGTATAAAAACATTTCCAAGCACGGTATAAATTCACAATCTTTAATGAATCATTGGCATAAAACAGCAATGGTACAAAGGCTCACTCTACCCACTTGCCAGTCAGTTTTGCAAGGCAACAAAAATATAGGGTCTGACTGATAAGCTGGCAGTCATGAACTGTTAAATTACATGTACATACATGAAGATCAATTAATTATGAATACATACAGGTACATGATCATAACAACACCTTGTTACCGTATATGTCGGAATATAAGATGAAATTTGAACCTTAAAAAAATCAGCCCAAGTTAGGGTAGTCTTGAACACTGGGTATAGAATCCGAACCTCTACATCCTGTGGTTTAGTGTGTCACCAGTGGTGATGGAGAACATCGTAAAACACTCGCCTTAATCCCACGGTTCTACCACTAATTATTTTCTATGAAACTTACGTTTGGGAAGCTCGATTAAAAATAAGATTACTGGCATATTAAAATAATAAAAATGTATTATAAACCTGTCTAACATACCGTAAATACCGTAAAATAACATAATAAACGCAGGTATCATCACGCATCGCCCGCCATTTGCAACTGCCGCCAAAGTAAACAAACAGCCAGTCCTACCAATCGTCTCGTAAAGCAAGTTTATAAATTAAAGAAAGTACCTGCAGTGTATTTTATGCTTATATTTCTAATATATTACAGTACAGTATTATAAATAAATAAACAAATAAATCAGTAAATCAATTTCAAGTAAATGGTAAAATTTTACTCGACACCGACATTAGTTCCAGTAAAATAACGTTTGAGGCAGATTATGGTAGGTAGTTGACAATATTTTGCCATTACTTGGAAGTGAATTGGCCTTATTTTAAATAACCAAGGATGAGTTGCTTAGCAATGTGTTTAGCAGCATCACACTACTGGTCAGTGGGATGGTTGGTAAAAGACTACTGGGGCAATAAGCTCCCAGTGGTAAGTGTCAGATTTGCGGTAGTCTTGTACAGCAAGTATAGCTCAAAACCTACATTTTAAATGGAAATTTTGGAGGTCGTCTTATACACCCCGTGGCCTTGTACAGTAGACCGTCGAATTAAAGCAATTCAATTTAAGATTATTGATTTCAAGCGACACCCACAATTAAGGACAATGTTTTAATTTAAAGCGGATCTTTCCTATTTTGCCGAGTCAATCTAGTACATCATATTTTAAAATTAGCCCCTAAAGTTTCTCTGGGTACTCCACATTGTCCTAAGGGCAAAGCTGTACTGTACATGTACTCAAAATAATGTACTAAATGATTATTAAAATTTTTGTCTAGTGCAAACTATAGCATGTTTATATTCAAATTAATCACTATCTTATAAGAATTCCAGCAATGTAAATTATATTCTCCCCAGTCACTTCTGTTACATCTTATAAGCAAAAAACAAAAACTCAATCTAAAGGACATAAATAAACAAATAAATACTTCACTAGACCTTTGGTCCCAACTGTCAAACATGTCACTGCCACCACCTCTTCCTCCCTCCCTCCCACCCAGCCAGGGTTTGGTGGTTTTAGGCTTAAAGTTTTTATCTTATATAATATCACAGACTAAAGTTAGGAGAATATAATTTGCATTGCTGGAATCCTTGCTAGACAGCGAATAATTTGCATATAAACGTCATATATTTTGCACAAGAGATAAAAATTTTGTTTAGCCATTTGTAAAAAGTTTCCTAATTAAAGCTAAAATTTTTATGTCTCATGCGAACTATAGCATGTTTATATTCAAATTAATCAATATCTGATAAGAATTCCAGCAATGTAAATTATATTCTCCCTGGTCACTTCTGTGACATTTTATAAACAAAAATACAAAACTCAATCTAAAGGACATAAATAAACAAATAAATACTTCACTAGACCTTCAGCACAACTGTCAAACGTGTCACTGTCACCTCCCCTTCCTCCCTCTTCCCGAGCCAGGGTTGGGTGGTTATAGGCTTACAATGTTTATCTTACATAATATCACAGACTAAAGTTAGAATATAATTTGCATCGCTAGAATCCTTGCAAGACAGCAAATAATTTGAATATAAATGTCATATATTTTGCACAAGATAAAAATTTTTAGCTCATTGTAATAAAATTTATTAGAACATGTCAGTTCAGTGACATTTTATAAGAGAAAAACTTAAAGTCACTCTCAAGGGCAGACAAATAAATAAGCACTAGACCTTGGCATCAACTGTCAAACATATCACCTCACCTCCCTCCCTCCCCCCATCTTCCCAGCCAGTAAACAGACTGTTTGTTTTAACAATATACTACAAAAAAAAAAAAATTTGTTTATTCTAGGAGATGGGCTGAGGTGAATCTGGGTAGACTGTCAGTCTTTTTAGTATTTTGGGTTTCTCTCAAGTACCACTAAATTATTCCATTGAAACAACACTTCGATTTCGTGCAAATTCGGTTTAAAGCGGCCTCTCTTGGAACATACCTCGTGTTATATCGAGATTCTACTGTACGCCGACATATACGGTAGCTGGAAAAAATAGGTTGAAACCTAAGTAGTAAACTATCATTCTGATTAAAAGTGGGTTATCATCATCAAAGTGGCCATTTTCCAAGTTTGCCTCCATGCTGCACGATTCCTGTCGTCTCTTGACTAAATGTCATTTCCAACAACCTCTCCTTATGTCAGTGTTGGCTTCCCCTGGCTTTCCACCATCTCCACAATTGGTTAGGCTGGTGTACTTCTTGACCTAATTGGTCAACTGTATGCCATTTTTACAGGTTACAGGACCACAACTAAGTTACATAAGAGTTTAAGCCACATACATTAATCTGTGGTTTCAAGGAGCTGCATTACCTATGGCAGCAGAAATAAAACTTACCATATATTGTGGCCAATATGGAAATAAAACTTGTTGAATGTTGTGGCCAATGAGTTGACCTTTGAAGCTTCAATTTGGGTGTTCAAAACTAGGGTTCGTCCTATACAAACGGAATAAAATGCCAACCTCTAAGTACAGCTCCGCCACTAGCATCAGATTTTCACTTTACTGTACCGGTAGGTCTCAGTCACTCAGTACTGTAGTGGGTTGCAACTTTAATTTTCAGCACTCAAAAACAAGTTTTATCTAACTAGCATTTTTCCAGAAGGGTACCGTATTTTACGGCATATAAGACACTCCCCCATTTCAGCAGGGAGAATTTAGGAGAATACTCATGTGTATTTTCCTCCTGTGGCCATAGTTTTCTCAAAATAATATATACAGTACCAGTAAATGTGAGGAATAAATCAAAATAATAATAAAGAAGTTACAACAAAATATACTGTACAGTAAGCCCTTAAAATTTGAGGACCTCAATTATTCGTGGATGATACCCTGGATGTACCCAAGAATGTCTAAGGGTAGTTTTAAAGTTGCTGGTATTTTCACGGCCGGGACAGGGTGCCATTCGTTCTAGAGACAGTAATTTCTATTACCTGAATTGTGTATGTGTGTAGACACACAAAACATACAAATAAGTAATAATAGGAATATCCTCTCAATTATCAGAAACCACAAAAATTTATTAAAAATGTGTCACCCTCAAGTGAACTCATTGCTTTGTTATTAAAGTTATAACAAAGAACGGAGTTAACTTGAGGGTAGACCCTAACATTTTTAATACATTTTGTTTTGTTTCTGATTATTTGTGAGAGGATTTTTCTCATTATTACTTATTTGTATGTTGTTTTTTCTTTTGTGTATCTATACCAGTGGTTCTCAACCTGGGGGCCATGGCCCCCAAGGGAGCCACGTCAAGAATTTAGGGGAGCCATGGCGAGCTGTTAATTAAATTGTACGTTTCCAAATAATGTTGGGAATCGGAATTAAATAAAACTTGTATTATTTATTTAGACTTGGCAGAAGAGAATTTTCATTCTTTTTTTGTCATTATGTTTAATCATAACGACAATACAATTTTAATATTTACATACTCTGGTGCTAATTTTTTTTTTACGGATTACTTAAGATTTCACAGGTTCAGTCCCTGTCTGTGTGACAGGCGCTGGACTGAACTGCTGAACTGACTTGTTCAGTACGTGTCCGTGTGTCATCCCCTTGCAAGTGGTGATAGGACCGAATGATCTAAGTCTGGCCTGGGATACCATCATGAAAACAGTGGAGTGTATTGTCTCTGAACCATATATTGTGCTTGAGCTTGACTCAAGCAAAATATACAGTCAACCCTCGCTTTACGCGGTCCCACTTTACGCGTTTCCACGTTTAGGCGGTACCCTGCTGAACACGGAATGCTCACTTTCCGCGGTGTGTGTACCCCTTTACGCGGAGAGCGACTGGCGGTCCTCTCGCGCCGCGCCATTTTTGTATCCAAACCTCCCGCCATGTTGTGTAAGCAGAACGAGTAGGTTGCGCAATGTATGTTTTTGTTGCGCTATCGGTGACGTCATATGACGTAGCAGACTGTGATTGGGCAAAGCATCCTTACCTCCCTCCCCGCTAGCTGTGGTTGGTTTAATGTACTATGACGTGCCCCGCCGCAGGAGCGTTCAAGCCCCTTGACCTACCCGCATCAGTTACACCCCTCCCAGCTACACTGTGTATATCGGTATCCATTGTTCAATAAGAATGGCTTCCACCGGACCACCACCACCACCGCAAAGAAACCTTGCATTACCTGGACCCAGCCGCCCTAAGCCAAAGAAGACACAACGTTCCTTAAGCTACGAAATCAAATATAAAATCATACAAGAGTTGGAGAAAGGAACAAGACAGGTTGATCTCCCTCGCGCCAGCATGGTGTTAACGAATCAACTATCAGGACAATTTAGAAGGATGCAGCCAAGATAAAGGAGCACATGAACATCTCAAAGTCTACAGGTGCTTCTATGATCAATATTTCCACAACCAGGTGCTTCTCAAGACGGAAAAATTACTTGTGAGCTACTTGGTGCATCAGGTGCGACGGAACATGGCAGTGGACAC